AAAAATAACTGCTATCTCAGCATTTACGAGCTTTTTGACGCATCGGTCTAGTTTCCGGGATTTTGACTTGGCATCATCTATTAGATAAGGATGGTTCGCACAAAATTACTCATATATTCGTCGCTCTTTTCATTCTAACGTTTCGAGATCTTATCTCATCGTCGGAGAAGACTGAAGAGCACAATAAACATTTTTTGGGTTTTAAAAGATACAAAATTGTGCATTACTATTGGAAAACGTCGTTCGGTACGGAGAACACAACTGAAGTAATGACTAACTGAAGTAAGACTGAATTATATTTTCACCTTGATACACATAAGATACACTTATAATGGGAACACTACAAAGACACAATAAGGACACCAGTGCCACAGTCACATCGATGGTGCTCACCTCCCACCACCCAATGAAGGCGCCTTCTGTCATTGTACGTCCGTAAAATGTCAGTGTTGTCTGTCAGTTGTTGTCGTGTCAAAGTCCTGTCGTGTTCGTATCGCATGTGGTCCAGGGGTGCTTCGTCACGTAAGTGCATTGTCAGGCCTCATGAGAGTGTCCTTGTGGTTTAAAACTTAAAACTTAAAACTTAAAACGAAGCTTACAGCCTTCGATGTTGCATTTGAACTTTTGTGAGACGTATAACTTTCTCATGAGAAACAGCCCAAACAAACCCGACAAACTAAAATGCACCAATGTGGTGTACCAATTCAAATGCAGCATCAAAGGCTGCAAACTTCGTTCCACACACTACATTGGTGTGACCACAACGACACTCTCAAGACGCCTGACAAAGCGTCGTGACGTGGAGTGACGTGACGGGTAACCTCTGGACCACATGCGGTGCGAGCACGACAGGACATTGACACAACAGCTGACAGACAACACTGACATTTTACGGACGTGCAATGACAGAAGACGCCTTCAAATTTGAGGAAGTATATTCATTAACGAACTCTCTCCGGCCCTAAGCAGACAGACAAATTTTTGCACAACGTCTTGAACTATTAGGTGTTGGGCTGTGAGCGCCACGGATGTGATTGTGGAGCTAGTGTCCTCAGTGTGTCTTTATAGTTTTCCCGTTATGAGTGCATCTTATGAGTATCAAAGTGCAAATAACATTCCGTCTTACTTCAGTTAGTCATGCTTCATTTGTGTTCTCCGAACCAAAAGATGTTGTTTAATAGTAGTGCACCATTTTTATGTTTTAAAACTCAAAACTTATTTCTCGTGCCATTTAGCCTTCTCCGACGATGAGGTAATATCTCGAAACGTTAGAATGAAAAAAGCGACGAATATATGAGTAATTTTGTGCGAACCATGCTTAATATAAGGGATGATGCCAAGTCAAAATCCCGGAAACTGGAACGATGCGTCAAAAGGCTCGTCGGTGTTGAGTCAGCAGTTATTTTTAATCAAATTAATGAAAACAAGACTAAGATTAGTATATATGCGGTGTAAGATTAGTATTGGTGACTGCACGACCTTCGATATTCGATTTTCGTCCAGGTGCACGAGATTCAACCCATGATGCTGCACAAAAAACTGGCTTACAGATGAAGCTTAACGACGTTGGAATGCTAAATAACGATTCTTGACGGTACTCAGCATTTCGAGCCATACTCATCATCAAGAGCAAGGTTGCTCAATCTATCGGCTCAACAGCGACATGGGTACAGACAGAGGCCGGTGCAAACTGTGGTCACGTAACCTATGGTGAAACGACGAAACGCGCACCCGCCGGAATATTGTCATTGCCGGCTTCGTTCGGTCATTATTCATCCACTTATTCATTCATCCCATGCCGAAAAGGGTGAGCCACAGCCACGATCAGACGCATTGCCCTAACTTCCTGGTTTGCTAAATATCAAAGAAACCGCACATATCGAGAGAAGAATTATTTGCAACGGGTGCGATGAGAGAACGCAAGAGATGCATTATTGTTTTTCAACGATTCCCATTGGCTTCGCGTTAGTGTTTTGGACTCATTTTAAAATCTGACAACGCGTGACATTGCAGCAGCGTTGACCCATCGCAGTGGAGAAAATTGGAAGATCTGGCATCTGCAGTGGCAGCAAATGCGGTTTTGTTAAATTTTTGGGATGCCTGACAACGCTCCAATTGTAGTGGAAATCTGGAGAAAAAGCTTTGAAAGCTGGACAATCACTGAGCTGAGTAAAAAGAGGGCGAGGGAGGGCGTGGGCTGTCACCCGCCGATTTCCGCCCAGGGCCCAGGTACACGCGATTCAATCCATGATGCCGCATGAAAACTGGCTTACAAATGAAGTTGGCCTCCCATGACCTCTCTCCGTCCCTGGTAGTCGGGACATCGCACCCGGATCCCGTCAGGTACCTCGGCAGCCAGAGTTCGGGTCGGCCGGGAAATACCATGAATGAATGCTTCCAGAAATAATACAAATACAAACCGTTTATGGAAGCTCCGCGCTTAGCGAAGCAGGCAGAAAGCGCTTGTCTATATAGTCTTTGCGTAGGATGTGTCTGTCTGTCTGTTTGTCCTGTTTTGTGTTGTGTCGTGCCCAGGCCCAACAGCCTGGGCACGAACGAATGGTGAAATTTGGCGTAAAAAATTGGCGAAAAAATATATTCCACAGGTAGCTCAACAACAGCTGCGGTCTGGGGTTCGGGCGTAGACGTGCTATGACCGAATGGCCGTTTTCCTGGTTTTCCACGCCCACTGGTTTTCCACGAGCGGCCTGAAAATGTGGCCCTTGATAATACCGATGAGAAGTCGCTCGAAACCGTGCCCACATTTCGGTAACTAGGTGTTGTAGCGACAAAGACGGCACATCTCGACGGGCAATCGTGTCGCATCACGGGTGCCATTGCACGTGCCAAGTGTCACTGACCCAGAAGAGGTTAGGATGGATTTTTTCCGTTTTTCACATTTTGTGCCACAACTCGGCAGCCAGAGCGAGTGGAGGCCAACACGAACAAACATGCGTTTGCGCCACGCACGACTGCGCCAGCTATCGTCGGGCAAGCCGGGCTGGTCGGTATTTCGGAAACGGTGCCGAATATGATACGCCGTCGAAACAATAGCCAGGGCCATGAAGCTCTGTGCACCACCCCGATTCAACATCAACTTTACCTGACGGGTTAGAGGCACACACTTTCAGGTCGCATTAATGTCCCCGGTCGTTAGCTCAGTCGCCGCCTGCAAGTACCGTAAGTAAAACTACCAACCGTACATAAGCTGCATGTTGCCGGCGATCGGTAGTAGTTACTCATCTTTAGTTCATTCATTCCTTGTGGCGAAAAAAGTGAGACAAAGAAACCGTCGAATGCGTTGTTTGAATCCCTTGCCCTAGGAAGTGTTTAATGAAGCCGAACGTATTGAGCGAATCATGACTTGGGAGGGCTGCAGTGAAAGGACTCGGGAAACGCAGCTGTTGTAAGGCAAGGCCGCTGCTACGGCAAAACCGCACGCTCACTGGCTTTGCACGTTGTGTCTTGAAGTTACCGCAGTGTGGCAATACAGGAGCACCGCAGCTGCAATGGTACGTGACAGCGGCAAGACTAAAAACTGTCATTTTCTATGGCAGAAAGGAGTATTTCCTTGAAGCTTTTGTGACGCATAACAGAAGTGTGACCGCTTTGGCACTTGGATAGCAGAAAGCTGGTCAATCGCTGATTTTGTGTTGGAAAGCAGATTGTAGGCTAATTTCAGTAGAACGCCGCAAATGCTACATCCAGATCATTCGTTTTACTGCTGTAGCCTGCCATCAGCTTCGACCCATGACGGTATGGCACAAAATCGGCAAACGCAATAGGTTTACGATTGTTTCTTGAAGCAGATAAAACAGAACCATTCAAACATTCCTAAAGGCCGCCTCGCAGCGCGCACACGCGCATAAAGAGGGAAGGGGCCAGCGGTTACCGACTGATTTTTGGCAAGGTCGTAAGCGGTTCAACCCATGTTGCTGTACGAAACACAGCTGGGTCACAGATGTAGTCCGTTTCCCATGAGCCACATAGTCCTCGGCAGTCAGCACATTACACCCGACTGGTGTCAGGTATCCTGGTAGACACGGTTGCGATCGTCCAGTCAATCCTCGAACAATGTTGAATACATCAAGAAGTAGTGCCAACACCAATCGTCCATAGCACGGAGCGGATCTTTCGTGCATTTTCAGTCAGCTTCGTCGCTTCACGAAGCAGGCCCTCGTTGTTTACCGTTTCTAACATTAAGGGCCAAGTGACTAAGACTTCAAAAGAAATGGGATTTGGTGGTGGTGGTCCATCGATCCCTGCAGGCCCCTCAAACCATTGTAGAGACTACCTAGGAAGGTAAATCAAACCGCTTTTTGGAAAATCCAGGACCTGTTCCTAACTCGAACAAGCAGTGGGAAGTGGATGCGCGGGTTTTTCAAGCAAGTGCATCGCCCACATAAGCGGAACTCGTGCTGCTGAGAACACTCTGAGAGTTTCCACGAAAACATCCGTTTCTTTGCAAGAAAAAAACCTGCGCTTTCGAAGCAACTTCGATTTTTGAAACCACAATCGTTATTCGCTACATTTCATATATTACATGGGTATGTGAAGAATACAGACTTATGTATGCATACAGGTGGTTACTCAATGTGTCAATGCTGCATAGTGATGCGGGTCAAAACACACAATGAACAGCACTAAACGGCATGGCATAAACTGCCGCTGAACAATAGAAGATATGCATAAAAGATTATGCCGTCAAACCCACAGCGGTCGGGAAGCATTCAGAACATATTATGGCACAACAGCCCTCGAGTCTTTAGACTAATGCAGTCTGCAAGTCTACAACACTATGCATCATACAGCCTGAATTACGCTTTGATTGCGTTTGGAATGTGCACGGCCGGCCAGCGCGGCGCTGCCTGCGCGAACCTGAGCCGGGGCGGCGGCGGCCACAGCGACGCGGCGCCGGGCTCGGTCGCTCGCACCTGAGATCTGAGCGGCCGCGGCGGCTGCCGGGCGGCGGGCGGGCGGCGCCGGCCGCCGACGCCGCATCGGGTGATGATGGGACGGAGTGGTCGGCGCACTGCGCGCCGCACGATGAGCGTCCGTCACACGAGCGCGACCGGCGCGCGACAGCACCTCGCAAGCGACGCTCGCGTGTGCTGCGTATCACTGGCGAAAGGGTACCGAAGCCTGGCACTCGGGCAGACGTCGGCGCGCGCGCGCGCGGCGAGTCCGGCGCCCGTGCCGGGCCGGCGGCAGCGGCGAGATCAGGCGTTCTGACCAGAGCGGCGCAGCAGCTCGGCCAGACGCGAGTTGTGCGGACCGGCGCGGTTGAGCAGCGTCAGGCTGGAGCCCAGGCAGAGTCGGGTGGGCGCCGCCGCGCCGCCCGGCAGCTGCAGGAAGACGGTGGTGACACCGGCCGCGCCGTCGGCGCACGGCTCGACGGCCGCCGGCCGCACGGCCGTCTCTGGCCGGCGGCGGCGGCGCGTCAGCGTGGCCACCGCCGGCTCCTCGTCCTGCTGCAGCAGCAGCGCCACGCGCGCCACCGCCCGGCGCGCCATGCTGCGCATCTCCGCCTCCTGGCGGCGCACCGTGCGCCGCCGGCTCGAGAGCCGCCGCAGCCGCCAAAGCGACACGCACAGCGCCAGAAACAGGAAAAAACACGAGAAGAACACCGAGAAGAAGACGGCCATGTTCATCTTGGGCTGATCCTGGCGAAAGAACACGGTGCCCTGCGCGGGCCGGTCGCCCACGCTCAGCAGGGCCACGAAGAAGGTGGTGCTGCGCAGCTCGTACCGGTCCTGCGGCAGCTGCACGGTCAGCCGCCGGTGCAGGTTGCGCACTAGCAGCATGTGCTGCTGCCCCGGCAGCCGGATGTAGGTGTTGATGTCGGCGGCCGTGCGCGCCAGCAGCTGGTGTCGGGGCGCGCCGGTGGCGTTGTCGGCGCGGCGGCGGGGCCGGCCGCCGACTGGCGTCACGCCCTCGTAGCGCGGGTCGAACTCGACCCGGTGCCGACCGCTGGAGCCGTTGACGTTTACGCGCAGCGCGTCTTCGTGCGCCGTCAGGTACACGTCCACGGCGCCCTCCACCACGTCCACCGACAGCCGGATGTCCACGTTCAGGTACTTGGGCCGGGCGGCGTAGAAGACGGTGCGGCCCTCGAGCAGTTCGCCGTAACGGCCGCAGAGATCTGCGACGGGTGGCGCAGCCGTGTCACACGCCACCAAAACGGGAAGTTGGGAGCCTAACTCACACAAATACAGGCTGATCAGCGCAGCCTCGACAGGCAGCAAACCTATTGTGAAAATAAAATGTGAAGGTCCCATCCAAAGCCGAAGCAGCCGAGCCCGACTAGGGGATGGTGGTTGTCATCAAAATACATGAAGCTGTCGCAAAAAATGCGTGGCGAGTTTTAAAAGCCCCCCAAAATTGAAAGACGTGACTCCGGCGCACGAGTGATGAGTGTACAGAGTTCTGGTGAGTGCCCCGCGCGCGCCGGTCGGTCCCAGCCCGAATGGTGAGTGTACAACGCTCTGGCGAATGCCTCCCACGCCTGCCAGGTCCAGCCCGAGACGCCGCGGGGCGGCCGCTGCCCATCCTCGCACCTGGGTTGGCTGGGTCGAAGCAGTAGTCGAGGTCCACCTGCATCTGCCGGTAGCACTGGTGACCATCGGTCGGGCGGCCGCGGTAGTTGTCCCGACACTTGACGCACTGGATGACCGGGTGGGGGAGGGAGGTCAGCGGAGGCTGCGGCCGCGAGCTCGTCTGCCACGCTCGACTGCGGCCGCGAGCTCGTCTGCCGCGCTCGACTGCGGCCGCGAGCTCGTCTGCCGCGCTCGACTGCGGCCGCAAGCTCGTCTGCCGCGCTCGACTGCGGCTGCCAGCTCGTCTGCCGCGCTCGGCCGTCTGACGATCGCAGCGAGGCGAACAGGGCGGCCCGCGGCCGAGAGCGCTGCGGTCAGCACACACACCGACGGCCCGACCGCCGACTCAGCCAGACCGGGCCAGGCGCCAGCAGGGGAAGCCCCAAGCCACACGGTGTCTCTAGAAATCTCGGTCCCGGGCAGCAGCAGCGGCGGGTGGCGGGCGCAGATTCGACTAAGCAGAACATATCCCTGTGCCCACGTAGCGACCGTTATGCGTGCGATTCAGGCCCTGCGTCGGCTGCGCCGCCGGTTTGCAGCCGCTGACAGCGGAGCGGGTCATCGGCACTGGGCGGCGGCCACACCTGCAGTTTCCAGCAGGGCTGGGCGCGCTTGCCGGCCTCCTGCCGGCAGCTGGCGTCCGACTCGGTGTTGTTGTGGCAGTCGCAGTTGTCGCCGTCCACCGGATCACACATGGTGCCATGGCCGTGGCACCGGCACCTGCAGCGCCACCCATCAGTCCTCTGCCCCGCTCACCGCCAATCCGCCTCAGCCGTCCACACAGGACGATCGGGAGGCGTCATTCACCGCGTCGGCATCTCTGCCCCGTTCGCTAGCACCCGTTAGTCTAAACACAAAAAGGCGCTTGTAACACATGTTTCTCGTCTCCCATCAAATGTGTCTTCATTGTCGCACGTCATTAAAGCATCGCCTCCGGTCGCTCCGCTACAGTGCGTGACACCTGCTTGAGCCGCTGATGCCCGCGCCCCCTCCCCCCGCCCCCAACCCCACGAGCGCCCTCTGGTCCGCGCCACTCACGGAACGCAGTGTTTGAGGGCGCTGGTGCTGCCACGGAAGAAGCCCGGCTGGCACAGCTCGCACATGCTGCCGTTGGTGTTGTGCTTGCAGTCGAGGCAGACGGCCTCATGGCGCGCGCCCTCCGTCACCAGCGCCTTCAGGGAGCCGCGCGGCATCTGGCGCAGCTGCGGCAGCCGTCAGAGCGACCGTCATCCCAGCCGACCACCATCAGCGCAAATGTCATCCCGGCCGACCACGGTCAGCGCAACTGTCATCCCGGCCGACCACGGTCAGCGCAACTGTCATCCCGGCCGACCACGGTCAGCGCAACTGTCATCCTGGCCGACCACGGTCGGCGCAACTGTCATCCTGGCCGACCACGGTCAGCGCAACTGTCATCGCGGCCGACCACGGTCAGCGCAACCGTCATCCCGGTCGACCACGGTCAGCGCAACTGTCATCCTGGCCGACCACGGTCGGCGCAACTGTCATCCTGGCCGACCACGGTCAGCATAACCGTCATCCCGGCCGACCACGGTCAGCGCAACCGCCACCCCGACCTGTCATGGTCAGCGCAGAGGTCATGTCGGCTCGGAGGGCAGAAAGACGTCAGGACTGAGGTCCTGGTCCGCTGCGACCTCAGTCCCTCGTCAGCTGTAGTGAGCCTCTGGTCAGCTGATCGGAGGCTGGGTCCAGCGTCAGCTTCGAAGACAAGCTTGAGCCAAATGCATGAGACAAATGCAATAGACAGGACAAGGGCGTGGAGCTGGCCAGTGGAGGTGTAAGAGGCCAGGGTTCATGTCTGAACCACAGGTTTGGTCCGACGGCCACGCAAGATGTTTGATTCACACACCGCGGCCTAACACTGACACCGGACACCGCGGCCCGCACTGTACCCAGCTTCTGCATGCTACATTAATAATCCTATATTTGGTGTAAGCGACTAGTGGATAGACTAACTCGGCATCGCCCAATACGGCCGGGATAGTTAGAGGCCAGTGCACGTTCATGTACAAATGAGCGCTCTCTAAACACTCGCTCTTCACTCCCGCCGTCAGGCGTTCGGCCAACGCCGTTGATCCCGACACGGAAGCTGGCGCCGTCTGCTGCCGTCTGCCTGAGCCTCCGAGGGACGCCGGCTCCATCTGCCCGACCCCCGGCCGACCCTGACGCGGCGCCGGTGTCGGTGTCGGCGGCGGACACCTCCCCTCCCCGCGCCGGTGTCGCGCGGCCGCGGGTCGGGCCGCCGGCCCCTGCTCACCTCGGTCATGTTGTAGCGGGCGGCCAGCTCGGCGGCGATGCACGTGTCCGAGTGGCCGTTGCAGTAGTCCAGGCATGACACGCACGGGCCCTTGCTCGGCTCGCCCACGAAGAACGGCTGACACTTCTCGCACTGGTCGCCCTGGAACACGCGCTGTTGGCAGCCACTGCGTCCAGCGACGGACGGGGGGGGGGGGGGGGGGATGCGTCTGCGTTAACCACTGCGCGCCTGGAAAACCAGAGGTACAGGGTTTGACTCCCCGCGGTGCCCGCCCTTCCTGCCAGGGTGAGAGGCGGGTGACGCGATATAGCCTCAGCAGCTGGATGCGTCCTAAAGCCCTAATGACACGACCGACGAACGAAACCCTTAGCACAGCCATGAACGGAACAGCGACGGACGTGGCGTGGGATGTGTATTGCGCGGTGGTCTACTGATGCTGCTGCTGTCTGCTGTACGCTTCCGTCACAAGATGCCCTGCCGGCATCAATGGCATGAGTCTTTTCGAGCTATCTGGTAGCATTCTGATTTGCTACCCAAATGCTTAAAGTACACCCAGTTGAATCGTCCTTAAGCTGCCCGATCCCTTTTGTATATGCCCTGCATGCCAGCTGGGGCATTTTTTCAATTGTGTTGCTAATTGGGAGGACATCGCATCACGGAAAAGGTCACTGTTGAGCGTCACTCCAGGACATCTGTCGTTCCTGTTTACACATGCGCAAATAGTACAATTTTAGTACTCTCAGCACAATGTAATTGCCATCTAGTAAGTTCATAAAAAAGTATTGCAGCGAAAGCGTAAGGATCATCACACGCATCTGCATGATCGGTTGAACCATAAAGTCCCTAGGTAGCGATCTTCATGTCAAATATGATCAAACAAGGTCCTACCCCAGATCGGTGTCCGAGGTGCACTGAGCCTTCTCACGAAACTAGCTTTAACCTGGATAAATCTTCTGAGCCAAAGTGAATTGGTGTTCATATCAGGTCAATGACCTTACTTAATATCCAGGCCAATAAGACCAAACACCTTCGAGATGCCTGAGTTTCATATCCGCGTCAAGAGCTGCGATATGGGATATTTCTCGAAGAAAAAAGTTGGTCGGGGTAAGGCTAGGTCAGTGACCTCCCCTAACCTTTATTAAGTCCAAATAAGATATCTGTTGACATGCCTGTGATAAAGAAATTCGAAATGAGCGTGAAACTCCCACAACGACCCGATGAAGCAAGTTTTTCAGCAATAAAGCCTTCTGATTTTGACCTCAATCGGATCCTTGTATCGAATCCAAATTTAATGGAATATGCCGCAATTCTTATTTCGAGTGCCTCATTGTCTAAGCAATACGTTACGACCGTACGCATTCGCCTAACACTTGGTTGTTGCATTAGATCGATCGATCCCCTGGACATTGCCTTCGCGGATAGCTATGCCCTGACCGTGACTTGCCATGGGTCAGCGATCTGACGAGGTATAAATTCTGTTTTAACCACAAGATTGACAATTCAGTCGCCTACAGTAACATTAAGATGGGGGTGGGGGCCAAAGTGACACCCATTGCTCTCCAGCTGAACTCCCTGAATTCATTACGGCCAAAGTTGATGAAGAGTTTTGATGCATGACAAAACATGCACCTAAGTGCGTGCTGTATACATCTCAACAAACTTTCTCACGAATCATTCAAAATTTTCGGACAATGAAGCATTGATTTCAGCGGTCAAATCTACGCCAAATAAACCGTCCAAATATTGTAACATTCCGAATCGGTATGCTCAGCTTTAGTGTGTGCTAGTCTTCGAACCCGATCGCTACCACAATTGCGTTACGACGCAGCAGCGCACTGGCCGAGCACTCAGTGCGTTCCGTCGAGGCCGCCGCCGCCGCCCCCGTTACCATGGTGTTGTTGTGACACTGGAGGCAGACGTCGAGCTGGTCGTCGCCGGCGCAGTCCGAGTGTCCGTTGCACTGGCAGCGCCGGCTGCAGCTGGCGCCCACGTACGAGAAGTCACACCGGCACCGGTTCGGCTCCACGCATGTGCCCTGCTTGCAGCCCTGCTCGCACACCGGCCGGCACGTGTCCCTGGCGGGAGGGGGGGGGAGGGGTCAGCCACACCAGGGCCGGCCACTGGGAACGGCCGCAGCGGGCAACGGCGGCAGCGGGCAACGGTGGCAGCGGGCAACGGCGGCTTATGCTAACCAACGTGTCGGAGTACAGCTGTGAGATACACCCGCGTGTGCTGATTTCGCTGGAAAGTTGGCGACTATCAGTAAATCCATCACTAAATCATATCAGGATCAATCATTCACACGTGACTAACTATTGACACGCCGCCGTAAACAGGTATCAAAAATAGAGGCGCCGAGGATGCTGGGAAACATGACAACAGAACTGCATGCACCGATGAAAGCAAGTGGGAAATGTGAGGAAAGTGTGAGCTATGGCTGCAGTATCGGTAGGACCAACTTTGAAGGTACCAACGTAAAACTCACGAGAAAAGGGAAGGTGCAAACGAAAAAAGCAGGTGTAAATATACGGTTCAAAACGGCAATGCTGATGGATAATCTAGTAAGCAACAGTGACCGAATTTCATGACCATTGTATAGAACGCGACTACAGCGGTTACTTCTTCGGCTTTCCATTCAAGTGGGCACATGTTAATGAATCAAATGATGTTGAGAATTACACATTGATCAGGTCCCATCGTGACTTTGCCGATTTCGTAGTCGAGCCAATTGTCGGCACACTTTTTCTCCAATGACAGTAATTCAGGGTTTATAATCCTCCAACAATTATGCGCCCACAACCACACTCACAGGAATAGCATCGAGTGTAACGGCAGGTCAGAGGGATGCCGGCCACAAAGCAATGCAGACACCTCACGCGCGAGACGGTACCCTGCCGACCACGTTAGCCAGCCGGTACCCTTACTAAGTCGTCAGCCAGCCGATACACTCCCTAGCTCGTCAGCCAGACGGTACCCTCCCGGACCCGCCAGCCAGCCGGTACCCACCCGCTGAGCACGTATCCGCTGCTGCACTGGCAGGTGAAGCCGACCGGCTGGTCGACGCAGACCTCCGAGTCCGGGTGGCACGTGTGGTGGCCGTTGGCGCACTCGTTCTCGGCCGGGCAGGCCGTGTAGTTCCACGAGACGACCGGCTGGGCCGGCACGACCGTGTAGTTGAGCACGTAGCAGGAGTCGCGCGGCTGCTCCAGGCCGCCGTCGCGGCAGAGGCCGGCGCCGCCCAGCGGCGTCGCCAGGTTACACCAGCTGCCCGGGAAGGCACGCGTCACGCTCAGGCGGCTGGGCTCAGGTCAAAACAGGGGTAAGGACGGGCCGAGGTCAGGTTACACCAGCTGCCCGGGAAGGCACAGGTCACGCTCAGGCGGCTGGGCTCAGGCCAAAACAGGGGTAAGGACGGGCCGAGGTCAGGTTACACCAGCTGCCCGGGAAGGCACGCGTCACGCTCAGGCGGCTGGGCTCAGGTCAAAACAGGGGTAAGGACGGGCCGAGGTCAGGTTACACCAGCTGCCCGGGAAGGCACAGGTCACGCTCAGGCGGCTGGGCTCAGGTCAAAACAGGGGTAGGGGCGGGCCGAGGTCAGGTTACACCAGCTGCCCGGGAAGGCACGCGTCACGCTCAGGCGGCTGGGCTCAGGTCAAAACAGGGGTAAGGACGGGCCGAGGTCAGGTTACACCAGCTGCCCGGGAAGGCACAGGTCACGCTCAGGCGGCTGGGCTCAGGTCAAAACAGGGGTAGGGGCGGGCCGAGGTCAGGTTACACCAGCTGCCCGGGAAGGCACGCGTCACGCTCAGGCGGCTGGGCTCAGGTCAAAACAGGGGTAAGGACGGGCCGAGGTCAGGTTACACCAGCTGCCCGGGAAGGCACACGTCACGCTCAGGCAGCTGGGCTCAGGCCAAAACAGGGGTAAGGACGGGCCGAGGTCGGGTTACACCAGCTGCCCGGGAAGGCACGCGTCACACTGAGGCAGCTGGGGCTCAGGTCAAAACGGGCATGGGGGGCGGGCCCAGGGCAGGCTGCACCAGGTGGGGCATGTGGGATACACCAGCTGAGGCTAATGGACCAGGTTGCAGCAACAGAGGATGAATGAATGCGTCAAGTTACACCGCAAATGATATGCGAGTTTGCAAAACTCGAGAATGTTTTTTATCGATACATCATTCTAGGAAATCGCAAATTTGAGACAACTTAAGCAGATTCACGTCCCCGCCGAAAAAATTCCGGACGATTTGCCATGCAAAATTGTCGTTCTTGTTCACTACAACGCTACAAACTACCTTGGGCACTTTATCCACGGTTTAAGCTTATATATCATGGCGACATAACGTGCAGTTCCTACTTGAGCTGATCCAATGATAACACTGAACATGCACACTTTTGTACAATGATCCATTGCGTACCCCAGACGCCAGTCAATGGATGTTCGAGCTGTTGGCGATGCTGTTCAAATTTCGACATGGTGTACTTCCATTAAATGATAAAACCAGTGCGCTGCGGTAAAAACCCAACATGTGGCCAAATCCATCACTCAAACTATATTCAGTGTTCGGTTAAGTGTTCATGCCAGCACCAGTAGCGGCACAGGGCAAGGCTCGTTCTGGCTACGGTCGTGGGCAGAGCTGGTCCTGGCTACGGCCCTGGGCAGGGCTGGTCCTGAATCCCAGGCTCGCATCTGGCCGGCCGGCGGCGCGGCACCAGCCGAGCGCTGAGCACGTACCCGCACTCGGGCCGCTGCAGGCAGGACTGGCAGGTGGCGTGCTGATCGCAGCTGAGCGGACACTGCGCCGCGCTCGTCACCAGCGAGCCGCACACGCCCGCCAGGCACATCAGCGGCTGGTAGCCCGGCCACAGACACTGCAACACGACACGGCCGGTACACTCCTGTCATCAGACACATCAGCGGCTGGCAGCCCGGCCACAGACACTGCAACACGACACGGCCGGAACGCTCCCGTCATCACACACATCGGCGGCTGGCAGCCCGGCCACAGACACTGCAACACGGCACGGCCGGTAAACTCCCATCTTCAGACACATCAGCCGGTGGTACCCCGGCCACAGACACTGCAACTCGGCACGGCCGGTAAACTCCCGTCATCAGACACATCAGCGGCTGGTAGCCCAGCCACAGACACTGCAACACGCCACGGCCGGTACGAACCCGTCATCAGACACATCAGCCGGTGGTACCCCGGCCACAGACACTGCAACTCGGCACGGCCGGTTCACTCCTGTCATCAGACACATCAGCGGGTGGTAGCCCGGCCACAGACACTGCAACACGGCACGGCCGGTACGAACCCGCCATCAGACACATCAGCGGCTGGTAGCCCGGCCCCAGACACTGCAACACGCCACGGCCGGTACGAACCCGCCATCAGACACATCAGCGGCTGGTACCCCGGCCACAGACACTGCAACACAGCACGGGCGGAACACTCCCGTCATCACACACATCAGCGGCGCGTGAATCACTCATCATTGTACGAATGCCCCGCGGGCCGTGAGGCTGATCGAGGCACAGTTCGCGGCTGTGAGCCAGTGTCTTACTCTAATGGGACTGCAACCGCGCCGGATCCATTTGTTTCTCACGACAGGAATGTTCCTGGATGAATGGACGCAGCCCGTATCGCACTGATCCTTAGATTTGGCGACCCAGCCGCGCGATTCGACAACAAGCCTACATCACGACGCGCTACACTCCTTAAGACTATGCATGTAAGGCGCTATCATAAGGTGTAACGCCGTGTCCTCGCGCGATACACGTGCCGCTGCCAGAGCCAGCATCCAAATGCGCACGTGTAGTCTCGCTTCGACCCAGAGTATTTTTCCCACCGCGCAGCCTCCGCACACAGAACCGCCCGTCAACGTCTTCTTGCGCTTTCACTACGTGGAGCGTGTTCCAGACTAACATCAGTTATATGCAAGGGAAGCTTGTCATCCTTGTCATGCACTTCATCTGCATAATATGCATTAGTTTCGAGCCTAACATTTCCATTTTAAAATAAACAGCCGACTATCCTGCGTGACGGCCATCTCTCGTGCACCGCATTGCCTCTCGCTTGTCGTAAGATAGATGGATAGAGCCTACTTTGTCGATTGTTTCTAGCAAAAATGAGCTGAATCCGGACCGGCGCGGCCGTCGTGGCGCGGTGTCCATCTCACCTGCCCCAGCTGCTGGCTCCACCAGCAGTTGCCGTCCAAACAGGTGCGGCAGTCATGGCGCAGCGCGCACGGCACGCCGCAGTTGCGTCGCACGCCCATGACCTCGGGCGCGGAGAGGGCGCTGACACAGCGGCCGTCCGTCGGCCGCCACCACGACGGAAAATCTGCCCCGTCAGACACGTACCGTCAATCACCGCCAGACACCGACTGTTAGTCACCGCCAGACACAGACCGCCAGTCACTGCCAGATATCGGTCGTCAGTCACCGCCAGACAGCGACCGCCAGTCACCGCCAGACACCGACCGTCAGTCACCGCCAGACACCGAACGTCAGTTACCGCCAGACACCGACCATAAGTCACCGCCAGACAGCGACCGTAAGTCACCGCCAGACACCGACTGTTAGTCACCGCCAAACACCGATGGCAGTCACCGTCAGACAGCCACCGTCAGTCACCGCCAGACACCGACCGCCCGCCACTGCCAGACAGGGACCATCAATTACCGCCGGACAGCGACGGTCAGTCACCGCTAGACACCAACCGTCAGTCACCACCCGACAAAGACCGTCAATCACCGCCAGACACAGGCCGTCAGTAGCCGCCAGACACCGACCGTTAGTCACCGCCAGACAACGACCGTCAGTCACCGCCAGACACTGACCGTCGGTCACCGCCAGACAGCGACCGCCAGTCGCCGCCAGATACCGAACGTCAGCTACCGCCAGACACCTACCATAAGTCACCGCCAGACAGCGACCGTCAGTCACCGCCGGACAGCGGTCGTCAGTCACCGCCGGACAGCGACCGTAAGTCACCGCCGGACAGCGGTCGTCAGTCACCGCCGCTCGTCACAAACAGCTTGTTATCGCTGCCAAGTGAGGGCGCGTCGGGAGCGGTACAGTGCGCGCAGCGCGGGGCCGGAGGCGGTGGCGAGTGTCGCCTCCGAGGCGCTCGACACGACACAGTGTCGTTACGTAATGGTCTCACAGACCGGCACGCTCAGCAGCTCCCCGGAGCGGGGTGGAGGCCAGCGTCCTTGCAGTGTCGTAGTAGGATCAGCGGCGCAAAGACACGACCACGCAGCGCATCACTCTGCAGGGCATCATGTCCGCGCTCGCCTGCCTCAGGCACGGCAGTGAGCACAGACACGTGTACGATCACTGCGGCCAGCTCGTCTCTGAGCTGCACGGGATTCGGGTCGCGGTCGGCAGACAGCTGCAGACCCCCCCCCCCCTCCCCCCCCCGCCCGCAGCAGAAACACAGCGCATGCTAGTGTCCTGATCGTCCCGGACCCGTCCACACTCAATGGACGATAAGACCTTAAATGCGTGGGACTCTGCTGAATTGTATAGCGGAGGAGTACAGATGCCATACTTGTTGCAGACCGGCCCGATGGCGTGCAGTTCGACACGACAGCGCACTCACTGTAGACGACCGGCCGGGCGTCCCAGAGGCAGCCCTTCAGGTTCTCGCAGGTCAGACAGTCGGCCGCCTCGCAGACACGCTCCGGACAGACGGCGGCCGTGCGCGGCGGGAAGGAGAGCGCGGCCAGCGGCGCCGAGACGGCCGGTAGCCGGCGGCCGTCCACCGGCGAGCAGACGCCGCCGTCCGGCCCCGCCGGCTCCCAGGTGCACGGCTGGAGGCGCAACGTAGTAGTCAGTGCAAGCGCATCACATGCAAAGACACGATGACCAGGAACGGCGGAGCTGGAGGCATGGTGGAGAGTGGGGGCACAACGGACAGCGGCTCCGCGTTGAACAGGCCTGTCCACAGCTCGCTGTATCCTGTAACCGATATGTAACCCTTAATGGGACTCTGGTCTTGACGAAATTGCACTTCTTGCACCCACGGTTTATCTCCCCAAAGCGGCACGAAAACAACATGGTTTTGGTCGCCAACAACCCTGTAGACATTGCTGCCAAGGGGTAAAAAGTCACGTGACATGCTGTGGACCAAACGAACCCTTTGCCCTTGGTCTCCGTAAACGATCATCAGCCACCACAGCCAGCGCACTGAGCCCGCTCACGGCGCCACCCCGGCATCCCGGCGTAGAGCCGTCCAGGACGACATCTCGGCATCCCAGCGCTCGGCGCGGCGGGCGCGCCCTACTGCCGCAGCGCATTATGAACGCAGCGTACTGGAACAGCATCCCACAAGCAGAGCGCGCGCGCTGTCCGGCAGGTTGTCATATGTGAGCAGTGCCCAGCCCACTGCCGCCGCCACCGGCGCACCGTCGGCGCTCACCCCTCTCAGGGACGCTGCGGTACTCACGTGCACGCCCTGGTAGTGGGGCCACTCGGCCAGGCACGCGTCGCAGCTGGTGTACTCGGAGCAGTTGCGCGACTCCACCACGGAGGCGTTGCAGCGACCGCGGTGGCGTGACGAGAACTCCACCGTGCCCACCTGGTTCTCGCAGCTGCAACAGCGCCACCGGCCCGCCGCGGTCAGCGGACGGCCGGACCCCGCCGGCGCGCGCGTTACAGCGCCCACTTAACGGCACGCCGGGCGACGGCTGCAGGCCTTGGTGCAGCCACTCAACATCCAGACATGGTATCGGTGTTCGTCTCGTCAAATACATGTATTTGTAGCGCATGCGTCCTAGCGCGGAGCAATGGTCAGGATCGGCGACACCAATACCATTACTGCAGTGCCTGTCCCACAGCCCCGACTGGAGGAGCCGAGGTGTAGTCCTGCCTGCGCGCGTGATGCCAAGGAGCCAACCCCTAACGCCTCCGCCGCCGGCTGGGTCGCCACATCGCGCCGTCACACGCGTACCCACGAGGCCAGCAGCGCCCCGCTCAGACGGACACGCCGGGTGGGACCCTCGAAGCACGGAGCCTGGTCAGCCCCGTGGCGGGGGAGCCGGTCTAGTCTGGGTCGCCACACCGCGCCGTCACACACGTGCCCACGAGGCCAGAAGCGCCCCGCTCAGACGGACACGCCGGGCGTGACCCTCGAGGAACGCAGCCTCGTCAGCCCCGTGGCGGGGCAGCGGAAGGACAGGGGGGACAGGCGGGGAGGACAGCCTGCGCGGCACTACGTACACGGACGGCAGGTGCTTCTTGTTGGTGTAGCAGTAGGTGATGTTGGCGGCCGGGCCGGTCACCTGGCAGTAGCTGCAGCCGTACTGGCCCTTGCACTTGTTCTTGTGCAGGTTCAGCTTGCACAGGTCATCGGGAAGCTCTGCCGGACAGAGACCTCCGCTGAACAAGCGTCCAGTCAAGCTGGCAAATAAAGACCACCGGAAGTCATCATCCAAGCCTATCGCTCGCATGCGTCGCTGTAACTTAGCATATTATTTCATCATCATGGCTAATAATCAGCTTCGTCATAATTTTTAGGAAGACGCCACAAAATTCATTGGAGGGTAGAAAACCAGGCTTTCCCGAAACCGGCATTCTCGAAAACTATATTTTTGCTGGCTTCTTAAAGTATATAACACATGTTACGATTCATATAAGTATCGAAAGGGCACGCCAAATATAGAAGGGAGAGGGGGGTAGGGCCCCTCCAATCACATGCAAAAGTTCACCCATGCAGGATGGTGTCTTTGTTCAATGATCGGTTGAATCCACAACAGTCATAAATGCATGATAACATGAGGTGTACCACCGAGCCCAAATCATAGCACAAATAAGACTACAGTCATGGGCCCTCCCCAGTAAAGTCACTAGTGACGTCCCAGGCGTAGGCCCTCCTACGTGACCCTTTGAAATAACGTTCGCACAAGCATGAACCACTACAATGAGGCCCAGTGGTAAGAACCCAGGCCAGTACGGACTCTCACGATTCAGCGATTCCTCGCCATGTGCCACCCGATATGTACCATGTTTAAGTGTCTGAGTTTCAGCAAGCTATCGCCTGTATCCGGGCAGCCGGGCACTGTCCCCTCTCACCGATGCGCTGCAGGCGCGCCTCCACGCGGCCCCGGTAGCCGCCGAACAGGTAGACCGCGCCGCGGAGCCGGGAGGCCGCCTGGCCAGCCACGCCGGCCGGTAGGCGACCGAACACGGCGTGGTCTGCAGAGGAGAGCGGTCACACGACACCGAACACGGTCACACGCGCCGCCGGCCGGCAGACAGCCACACATCAAGCCGCAGGACACACACGCGTGCTCCAACTTAGTTCTGACAAGAAAACGATACAGGAAAAGCGTGGATAGCCTACGAAGCACATAGAAAGCCAGTGATTTTGCCTTCTTAATGACATATCAATATTCATGTCAACATTTAGCCGGTCTATTTGGCATGGCTGTTTAAGAAGACATGGAGGCCAAAAGCGTCCTGTTTTTTTTCACATTCGGCTGAAGCACCATCGAGCAGCTTACACCGGAGCCAGTGAGCGCACCTTTGTCGCTGATCCTCAGCCACATGTTGCAGGCGTACAGGTAGGCGAAGAGGTCGCCGTCCGAGCCGGCGCCGCCCATCACCAGCATGTAGTAGTCGGCCGTGACGGCCGTGTGGAAGAGACGGTGGCCCGGCTGTCGACGGCCGCGGCCACGGGTCAGCGTCACGCGCCACGGTCAGAGCGCCGGCCAGCGGCCAATGCCAGACTGGGGTCAGTGGCCGGCCGCGGCACTCACGCTCCACATCAGCCACCGGTCCAGTGTCTCTGTTAAATGGATAATTCTGAACTTGAAATGTCGCCATCTAGAGGCCTAGGTGAGTGACAATCTACCTTCGCTAAAGCACTGCACATTACAGATCACACGCATCGAGCCCAAGCCCAGCAGCCCGCCTCAAGCGGTGACCGGCGCTGACGGCGGCCTCTCACCATGTGCCGCTGCAGAGGGTTGAGACCGCGGTCGGCGGGCAGCACGCTCCAGAACCGCTGCTGGTAGCGGAAGCTGAAGAGAGCGGCGCTGGCCACGGCTGCCCCGCGCCGTGCCACCACGCCGCCGAACACATACACCGTGTCCGTGGGCGCGTGGTACGCCGCCGAGTGGCCGTAGATGCCTGCCGGAGGAGGCGGCGGCGGTGGGACTGCTGGCCGGGCGGCGGCAGAGGGACTGCTGGCCGGGCGGTGGCAGGGGGACTGCTGGCCGGGCAGTGGCAGGGGGCGGAGGCAGGGGGACTGCTGGCCAGGCAGTGGCAGGGGGCGGCGGCGGTGGGACTGCTGGCCGGACGGTGGCAGGAGGCGGCGGCAGGGGGACTGCTGGCAGGGCGGTGGCAGGGGGCGGCGGCAGGGGGACTGCTGGCCAGGCAGTGGCAGGGGGCGGCGGCGGTGAGACTGCTGACCGGGCAGCGGCGGTAAGGTGCAGTGAGACGCAGGTTCGGGTATACTCGGCACTGGGCGTCCCATGACAGCGAGCGAAAACACACCCTCGGTGCTAACGGGACACAATCAAAATGCCCCGCGCCATCTCAAAGGGAGTCAATAAGTCATTGTGACCTAACTTTTCCTTGATATTGTGCAACGAGAGTGAGCTAAAATATTGATATAAGCGCACGAAACTGTCCGGGTACGACAGTGTTAGCTGATCGAGCGATATGCGCAACGCCACGGACACACCTTGTGGCACACTTGAAACCATTCGTTCAGAACCACCACAAACAGACCACCGCTGAGCAGCTGCCACTGCAGCGTCCCGAGGATGCCGCCATCCCCGGCCCTGCTCGCGCGCTCGTCCCACCCGGCGCCGGTGACAGCCGGGCGGCGCGGCCCGCTCCGTACCCATGGGTGCCGAGCCGGTGCAGTTGAGCCGCAGCCACGCCCCGCGCGTGACGTCATACTCCCAGACGTCGGCGAGCCAGTCGTGCTGCGGCGAGAAGCCGCCCAGCAGCAGCAGGCTGCGCAGCCCGTCCCGCTGCCGGTACGTCAGCGAGTGGCCGGCCAGCGGCGGCAGCACCGACGGCACCTGGCCGGCCGGCGCGGCGGGGCGTCAGAGGCGGCCGCCGGCGGGCAGGTGGCGACGTCACGCGGCCCACGCCGCCACGACGGGCGGCCGGTCACACGTGCGCCGGAACAACGCGCTGCCTTTGTGGCGCCGCTCAGCGCCCAGTCAGGCGACTAAGCGATACGGATGACTTGCATCCACTAACCACGCGGTCAGGTATTTCCGGAGGCATGCACAACGCAGGGATGCCAGTGAAAGAGCGCTGTTTCGTAGATATCTCACCCCGGTCGACACGCGAAGATCGCGTTACGGACGTGTCATACTTGGTTCGTTCAGATATTTGCAGCTTTGGGACAAAAACACTGAAGGCCCAAAATGCTTTTCACATATGAGATATCATCAACAACTTGTTTGCACCACCCCGAATCACCAACCACCACCTCATCACCATTTCAGCATCAGTTTCGTTTCTGGTGAACGTAGGAGAACGTAAAAACATTGTTGTGCAGTCGCCATTCTGCCCCGATTTGCCAGCCGTTCACCCTATACGCAACGTCTGGCCATCAACCCAATGTGGGGACACTGCGGCGACCTCCTGGGCGCCTCGCACCGACCTTGACTTCGTTCCACATCTTGGTCTTGATGTGGAAGCGCCAGCAGTCGCGTAGGAACTCGTTGCCGTCGGTGCCGCCGTATATGTAGATCTCCCGCTGCGAGACGACATAGGCGGCGGCGTGGAAGAAGCGTCCGCGGGGCACGTACGGCCGGGACGGCTGGTACTGCACGGTCACCTGGGCGGGGCGGCGAGAGCGGAGCGTCACCGGACCGGCCGACCTCAATCACCACACACACATACACACGGCCGGGACGGCTGGTACTGCACGGTCACCTGGGCGGGGCGGCGAGAGCGGAGCGTCACCGGCGCGGCCCGCCGCCGGACCGGCCGACCTTAATCACCACACACACACCACACACGTACACGCACACGCACACCACAAACGTAAACGCACACGCACACGCACACGCACACGCACACACACACACATGCACACACACACACACGCATACACACACACACACACACATACACACACACACACTTGTCGGCGTCTGTGACAGTCGCAATGGTCGCCACCGCAAAATGGTAGCGATCAGAACCGTGACAAGCGGCCGCCATTGCAGCAGTGCCGTTAGTCATGATCGTGACTGTGAACGTGACCGTGGGTAACTACCACGGTAACTACCACTGTGACTACGACAGCGGGGCTGGGCGACTGTGGCAGCACGTGACTAACAGCACATGCGTAGGACGATAACTACCGACGCTAACTGGCCGTTGCGTGACTGCCCGTCGCCGCGACGCCGGGCCGAGCGACAGCAGCAGGCTGCGACAGAAGGCGGCGGCGACGCCGGGCCGAGCGATAGCAGATTGCGACAGAAGGCCGCGGCGACGCCGGGCCGGGCGACAGCAGCAGATTGCGACAGAAGGCCGCGGCGACGCCGGGCCGAGCGACACCAGCAGGCTGCGACAGAAGGCCGCGGCGACGCCGGGCCGAGCGACAGCAGCAGGCTGCGACAGAAGGCCGCGGCGACGCCGGGCCGAGCGACAGCAGCAGGCTGCGACAGAAGGCCACGGCGACGGCAACCCACCTGCTGCCAGGTGTTGCCGCGCGTCTCGAACTCCTGGATGTCGTTGAGCGCGCCGCGGGAGAGCGAGTATCCGCCGAACAGCCAGAGCGAGCTGTAGTGGTCGGCCGTGAGAGTGTGGCCGAACCGCGGCAGCACTGAAACACGTGCCGGCACCTCCTCAACACCGGCGCGGAGCGGCAGCGACATCCATACAACCCTTGCCGTCCCTCTCGCATGCCAGTGTCACGACAGGTGACAAGGGGGCAAGTCTCAACAGTCTCAGCAAGGATGACATTTTGGTGATGGGCTGTGACGTGCACATGATCATTATGGTGCGCTATGAAGGCTGGTTCCGGTTACTGTCCACTGGAGGTACCGGTCACGCTCCAGCGACACAGGGTCTCACACTGCTGCTGGACTGGTTGACGAAGGAGCAGGAAAAGGGCGTCATACGATCCGAGCTCCATCTGGAACATGGAAGGGTTGGAGCAACTGGCAATGGAGTGGGCCGCTGGTACTTCCACAGAACCAAAATCAACTCAATTGAACTTTTATTGGTGTATATTAGTTACGAAAAATTGCTTTTTCAGCTGGGAAATCTATCAGCAGATGAGATAAATATGGTGAATTATCACCTTACCTCGGCTGCAAATGACAGGCTGTCATGGTGTGGCAGGTAGATCGTATTGCTCATGTCCGTACTCGTCCAACGATCATCAACAATTGTTCATGCTTACTAATGACGAACAGTATCATCCATCTACCATATGACAAGAGAGTGCTATCCTTCAAAGCAGGAGTAATGATATCAAACGTCAGCATCAGGTGACTGGACAAAACAACGGAACGGTCAACAAAAAAAAAAAACAGTCCAACCGAAATAGTCGGAGAGGATAAAACTTGAATACGAAGGGGTCAAAAGGGAAATATACGAGTAGCAAAAAAGTCGAAGCACAAAAAGAACAATCTGATAAAAGTCAACAGGGACAGTCAAATCGGAAAAGTCAAAGGACAAAAAGCCGAGTGGGATAAGCGTCGGCTGGAAACGTCCCCGCCGCCGCCGGACGGGCCGCGCCTCACCTGTCTGCAGGTACTTGAGCGACTCTTCCACGTGGTTCTCGTTGAAGAGCTCGGTGTAGATCACGTGGCCGGGCAGCGCCGTGACGTTACAGTGCGGCCCCACGTAGCCTGGGTCGCAGACGACACGGCCGTACGGCTGGGGGCCAGGCACACAGTGGTGAGTGCCGTGTCCGCAGCGACGGCCCGAGCTCCCGTGCGACAGTGGTCTGCCCGTGTCCGCGCCATACGGCTCGTGATCAGGCACACAGTGGTGAGCGCCGTGTCCGCAGCGACGGCTCGAGCTCCCGTGCGACAGTGGTCTGCCCGTGTCCGCACCATACGGCTCGTGATCAGGCACAGTGTTGAGCGCCGTGTCCGCAGCGACGGCTCGAGCTCCCGTGCGACAGTGGTCTGCCCGTGTCCGCACCATACGGCTCGTGATCAGGCGCCGCGTCCGCAGCGACAGCTCGAGTTCCCGCGCGACAGTGGTCTGCCCGTGTCCTCGCCATACGGCTCGTGATCAGGCGCCGCGTCCGCAGCAACGTCCCGAGGTCCCGCGCGACAGTGGTCTGCCCGTGTCCTCGCCATACGGCTCGTGATCAGGCGCCGCGTCCGCAGCAACGTCCCGAGGTCCCGCGCGACAGTGGTCTGCCCGGATCCGCGCCATACGGCTCGTGATCAGGCGGCCGGTGGTGCTGTGACCTGCTGCACCAGCTAATGGAATTGTGTATGCAAGTCTGTGCCACTCTTACTACAGGTGCCGTGTTAGGTGACCATCAATGGTGGCCGTCAAGCTATTCTCCACTGGTGCATATGCAAAGTAAGAACGAAACGCCGACACGGGCCCCGCCACTGTGCTGTACACATTTGGGGCGAAATTGACGCCGGCGGGCGTGTCCGCCGTTCTCTGCCGCCGGTGGCGGCGTCGGCCGGCACCCGCCGGGCCGGGCGCCCGTCTCATCCGGCGGGGCTCACCATGTCACAGCGGCCGTGCACGATCCGCTCCGGACAGGGGTGCGGCGCGCAGCCGGGGCCGGAGCGGCCGGCGCCGCAGACGCAGAGGCCGGCCACGCAGCGGCGACCGCTCGGGCACCCGTCAGGGCAGCGCAGCACACGGTAGCTGGCGTTGAAGCCCTCCGACGGCGAGTGCTGCTCGAAGTACACCGTCAGGAAGCCTGCCGACGGCGGCATTGGTCAGCACGGTTGTCGTCGCCGGCCCGTTACCATGGGCGGAGGCACTTAATGGTTCACTCTTGCACAAGTCCACTCCGTAGCTTCGATGATGAAATCTAGCGGACAACAGTAAAGCGCGTACCAGCCTGCCGGTCGCTGATCTCTACCAGGCATCCCAACATAAAAGCTCGTAATACATTTCGCCAGGCTGGCCTGCGCAACACAGACCCTCTGAGTTTTCCAGCCGGAAAACATCGCTGGACCGTGGCGCGTCGTGACAGGTTTCTCCTGGTCGTGAGTCTGACTTCCCGTCACTAACCCTACGCTGAGCCTGACCTGGGACGCCACACTACCCTAAGCGCGCGCTGGCGCCGGGCCGTCCGCCCGGGCCAGCTACCGACCTGAGGTGGCGCGCAGCACGGTGACGCCGTCGCCGGGCGGCGCCGTGTCGTCGCACAGCACCGCCAGCGCGTGCTGCTGCCGGTCCCAGTGGGAGCTGGTCGACACGCTCTCCGGCAGGCCGTCGTACACGTACACGTGGCTCCGGTCGCACGGCACGTGTCGCAGCGGGCCCACGCGCAGCTCCAGCGTCTCGCGCAGACTGCAACGCACGCGCCCGGCCACGTGTCAGCGCGCTCAGACACGGGCACTCGGTCAGCGGCGGCCCACCACTCTCAGCGGGACACTGGACGGAGAGGGAGCGGGAGGAGCCCGCCCGAGCCGTCGACGGGCAGAGGCCAGGCGGCGGCCACCGGCTCACCCGCGGCCGGCCGCTCACCTGTCGTAGATGGGCGCGTGGTCGAGGCTGTCGAACACGGTGATGACCCAGAGGCAGTGGGTGTCGTGCGGCGGGCCGCGGCCGGCCGGCGGCCGGTGCCGCTGGCAGCCGATGTGGCCCTCGGTGGCGGCCAGCGCCACGCCGCGCGACTCGCAGCCCCGGTAGCACACGCCCGCGTCCCTGGTGGACGCACAGGCAATCATGGCTCCGCTGGCGGCCGCAGTTGGTTAGGGTGCTCACACGCCGCCCACTCGCTGCTGCATCGCGCAAAACGCCGGCGTGATTCACCCGGGGCGGCTGCCGCGTCTCCAGACAGCTGTGTGCCACGCCGTACATAGATACTACCGGGCCCGATTCAAACTTGAAGGAAAGCGACCACTCCACACTAATCAAGTTCGCCAGCCTACTCAAAACAAAGACGGCGACACGCTGGCGGTAACACATTTCAGCTCTGCGCGAGCGCCATCTCGTCGGGCCCTCTCCCTGCCGCGCTGCAGGCCTTGCCCGCGCTCCGGCGGTGTCGGCACCCACCGGGGGTCTCCGTAGTAGCCGGGCGCGCAGCGCTCGCAGCCGTCACCCTCCGTGTTGTCCTGGCAGAAGCAGCGGCCCGTGGCGACGTCGCAGACGTTGAGGCCGACATCACCGTGGCCGTTGCAGTGGCAGGGCTGGCAGCCGGCCGACGAGGTGGCGTTGCCGAAGCTGCCCACACTGGCGGGGGAGGCGGCGCCGGTCAGCGGGCCTGAGCGACACCAGGGCGGCTCTACGGCGTTGGAGGGACGCCGAGAAAGGTAGTCCCGCCAACGGGACGCTGACGCAGGCTAGCGGGCACGGGATGCGAAGACAGATGAACCAGTCCATGGGGAGGGGTGTACCTGCAGAGCTGGCAGTGGGGCCCGGTGGTGCGGTGCTGGCACGGGGAGGGGTGTACCTACAGAGCGGACAGTGGGGCCCGGTGGTGCGGTGATGGCACGGGGAGGGGTGTACCTGCAGAGCTGACAGTGGGGTCCGGTGGTGCGGTGCTGGCACGGGGAGGGGTGTACCTGCAGAGATGACAGTAGGGCCCGGTGGTGCGGTGCTGGCACGCGTCGCAGAGGCCCGGTCCGCCGGAGCAGGTGGAGTGGTTGTGACAGCCGCAGTCGACGCTGCAGTCGGCGCCGCTCCAGCCCAGGTCGCAGTTGCAGCGGTAGTGCGGCGGTCCCGAACACCGGCCCGGGCGACAGTCCTCCACACACCTGGGCCGTCACACACCAGCCGTCACGCGGCAGCACACTCCGCACCGGCCCGGCCGACAATCCTCCACACATCTGGGACGTCATACACCAGCCGTCACGCGGCGGCATACTCCGCATCGGCCCGGCCGACAGTCCTCCACACACCTGGGCCGTCACACACCAGCCGTCACGCGGCAACACACTCCGCACCGGCCCGGCCGACAGTCCTCCACACACCTGGGACGTCACACACCAGCCGCCACGCGGCGGCATACTCCGCACCGGCCCGGCCGACAGTCCTCCACACATCTGGGACGTCATACACCAGCCGTCACGCAGCACACTCCGCACCGGCCACCGGCCGGCTCAGACCACGCTGCCGACGCCAGATGACTGACAATGGGCGCCCGCTCCGAGACTGGCACGATACGAGATACGGGGCCGTGAACACATCCCCGCTCTGCGGTTTCTGGGGGGGGGGGGGGGCAAACATGGCAAGACCGACTGAGAGGCTATCAGGCAAAAGCGCTCGGGGCTGGTTGTGTAAAGTAGGCAAATAGCTAGTGTGCCAGTAATACCACGCCCAAGCGAGATCGACCGCGACACAGCAAATGCGCCAGGAGGTAAAACAGCAAACTTCGTTCAATGCTCAAAGGCCACGTGATCAACCGACTCGTACGCGATCATGAATGCTCATCGGGTGTGGCCTAGCCACCACCCTTGCTGCCAGACCCCGACAACTTACGTCCTTTCACAGCTGTTGCGGCCGTCGCCGGTGAAGCCCACGTTGCAGGTGCAGTTGAAGGCGCCGTGCGTGTTGGCGCACGTGGCGTTCTCGTGGCAGTCGTGCGTGCCCAGCCGACACTCGTCCACGTCCGGACACTCGACGAACGCCCAGCTCGTCTGGTTGGCCGGGCACACCTGTCCATCGGCCGGCGCCGCCAGCGCACCCTCGCGACACATGCCGCGCGTCGGCTCGCCGGCGTCGTAGCACCAGCCGCAGCCGAGCGCGCGCAGACAGGCGGCGCACGAACGGAAGGCACCACACGCCTGACACTGCATCTGACGGAGCGCCAGCTCCGGCAGGCCGGGCGCCGCCAGCTCGGCCGTGTCGCGCAGGTGGTCCCGGTCCACCCACTGGCGGCACTGCGAGAACTGGAACCGGGACGTGTACGTGGAGAGCAGGAAGCACTCCTGGAACAGGCGGACGGACGGCGGGCGGGTCAGTCGACTGGAGGCCAGGCGGGATCAGAGTGACCCGGCGGCTGCTGCGCCGACGCACAGATTATACCGGGCCATGCGTGCGACAGAATAACTTCGCGTGATCTTTGTAGTGAAATTTAAAGGAGTCAAAGAAGAGCAATGCGCTCGATTTCTCTAGAAGTGGGTTTGAATTCGTAGCTACGTTATCTGGTGTCGAATTCTCCAACCAACCCAACTATTGGCTGACGTGCACGCATCACAGATGCTGTCGTTCAAATCACACTGAAACCAAAGTCATCATGAACAACACAAGCGTGTGACAGCAAGGGGAATATTATCACTGCTTTTTGCAGTCAACTTCCCCACATGCCACAGTGCAACAGCCCTAGATGGATGCCGTCGTCGCCCTGCACCTTACACTGACGCCACCACCGCGGCCTCACCCTGGTCTCGGTGCACCAGGAGCAGCTGCCGGGCGCGCTGATGCAGCTGACGCAGTCGCCGCGTCGGTCGCAGGGCAGCGGGCAGTCGGCGGGCCGCACCAGCGCGCCCGTCGCGGCGCGTACGCACCGCGCCCCGTCCGGCAGCCACTGACAGCCGGCGGTCGTGCACGCGGCGCACGCCACGTGGTCGGCGCAGCGCGGGCAGAGCGGCGGCGCCAGCGTGAGCAGGCGCGCGCAGCGGGCGGTGCGGTCGCGTCGGCGCAGGCAGGCGCCGCTGGCGCCGCACCAGCCGCACGCGGCGTCAGACAAACACGCCAGGCAGCTGGTGAGGCGCGCGCACGAACCGTTCGAATACGGCTCGAGGAACTCAAACGTCAGCGACTCCTGAAGACAGGTGAGGGGTACGGCGTTAGCCGGGCCCAGCGCGGGAACGCTCTCACCAGCGCTCCACTTCCAAATAAACGGACAAAAACCCTTCCGTAGCAAATTTGCCAATTCCAGTGAATAATATCGAGAGCCCATACTACACCAATGTTCCAGCAGTGACTTTTGTGAGGACCTAGACTGCCAGCTACAGCTGACGGATGACGGGCTGACTGGAACAGCCTGTCAGCCGCAGACTGGCTTCGCAGTGATGTGACTCATCTGCTTCGACCGACTAACTGCTGTGAGGACTTGTCGTTCTCCCACACCAGCCACGTAAGACCAGCTCTACAGGGACCCTCAGCGTCCCCACATCCGTGCCAGCCCAGAGCGACTGACCAGTTTTTGTGAGGAGGCGCCGTTCCACTCCAGCCGGACGTCGGCGTGCGGCGGCGGCGCCGCCTGTCCGGCCGGCGGCAGCGTCACCGTCAGCTGCAGCAGGTACGCCGCCGACCGGTCGCCGCCGAACAGCGGCGACAGGTCACCGCGGAACGCCTCCACCGTCTGCAGCTTGGTCACCCGGTTCTGACTCACAGTCTCCTGCCGCCGCCGGTGCCACACGTCACATCCATGCTTGCGGCAATCTACGTTTTCACATATGTGTTTCATCACATATATGTTTTCACAGGTGTTTGCGGCAATCAAGGGCACCAGGGAAATGTATATGAATGCATCAAGGTAATAGTCACCACTGCGGAAGTAAAAACCACGTGCAAAACATTCAAATGTCATAAACAAACACTGAACATACGAAAGAAAGTTCAGATTACATCATGCAGCTGACATGTTTAGAGGAACAGATACCCCGTGTTTTGCAAAGAAGCATAACCTACGAAATAGGTAGATTGGGGCACCTTCCCCGGAGCGTACTGCGCTTCCCAGAGCTGCACCGTGACCCGCTGGAGCGAGCGGTCGGCCGGCGCGCGGTCGCTCACCATGCGCTGCCAGCTGCGGTCGGTGGAGACGAGCAGCTGCGAACTGGACCGGCTGCTGGTGGTGATGAAGAGGCGCAGGTACGGGTCCGTCTTGGGCCGGCTGCCCAGCGGGTGCACGTAGCCGCGGAGGCGCGCCGTCACCAGGCCGCGCTCCTGGCCGGCCGCCTCCGCCCACAGACGCAGCGTCGTCTTGGTCGAGTTGATGATGCTCACCTGGCGGCCACACCCTGCCAGCTCTAGACACGCCTGGTCTCTGCACGCGCCCCACCTGGCAGAGCTGCTACGTTGGTCACAGCTCTGTGTCAAGCAAAGTCAAGCTCATGCAAAAGAGGACAGAAAAGGACTGCAGACCCAGCTGATGATGCTTATCTGGGATTCGGGGGCATGGGGTACATGGTCTAAGGGGAGGCATAATGGGATTAGGTGGGGGAAAAGGAGCGGAGATCGTGCTGGGCGAAGCAATACGTCATTTCAGGGAATGGATCGAAAAAGGCAAAACGCTGACGCGCATACGACGCAAAAGGCTGTTTGAACAACGAGCGTCAACTTTCGCACTTGAGTTGGATGGTAAATGAGATTGACATCAACATCCAGTTGCAATAATACATCGTCTAGGCCAAGCTAGCTAAGTTTCAGATAGAAGTGTTCGTTAAAAATGGTCAAGCACGGTAAAAAAATCAAAAAGTAGTACGGTATGTAGGACATTTTCACCACCGGCGCACGTGTCGCACTATACCAGTGCAGTCGCCGCGCCGCCCGCTGCGTGGTCCCCGCGCCGAGCGTCGGCTGCCCTCACCTCATCGGGCCAGTCGAGGTCCGCCGGGTTGTGGTACTTGGTGAGCGTCAGGCCCGGCCGGAAGTCGCGCGTGCGGCACTCCTGCAGCCGCGTCACCTCGGTGCCGTTGGAGCCCCACCAGCCGCCCAGGCCGGAGGGGGTCTCCGAGCCGGCGCCGCACAGGCCCGGCACGCCTGCGACGGGCGGCCACGGGGTCAGCACGGCCGGCGTCACCGACGCGTCACGTACAGTGATGGCGTTAAGGCAGTCAGGGTCGGGCCTTGCTGCAGCAGCGGCTGTTGTAGCCGAGCATGTGTCAAAATACGCCGCACATGGACAATGTTAGATGGTGCCCTGGAAATGAAACATTTTTACTGCATACTTAGGAGCTTACTTTGCTGCTTACGCGGGGATTCACGGGCGCACAACAAGATACCGAAGGCGGTTAACGGCTCTCGACCACCACCAGCTGCCACACGGGTCCCAGCGGCGGCGCCTGGCGCAGCTCCGGCGTCCCCCGGCGCGCGCGCCTCCCAGCTCACCGTCGGCGCGGTGGCAGGCGGCGCTCTGCACGCACCAGGCGCAGCCGGCGCCGTGCACGGCGCACGCCTGACACTGGCGCAGCGCGGCGCACACGCCTGGGCACGGCGACGACTGCAGATTGCTGGTGCAGATGCTGCCCTGGCCGCGGCCGTAGCAGCGGCCCTCCGGGCACCAGCCGCACACCGGGTTGGCCGTGCACGACGACTGGGTGTCGTGGCGGGCGCACATGACGTCGCGGTCGGCCGGCCGGCTGCTCGGCGCCACCATCGTGTCGGGCAGCGTGTAGGCCAGCAGGCGGCCCGACACGGCGCCGTGGTAGCCGCCGAACAGCAGCAGCGTGCTGCCGTCCCGCACCGCACCACTGGCGCCGAACAGACCGAACGACAGCGGGTAGCTGGACCCTGCCGGCGGACGGCGGCAGGGGGGCGGCGGTGAGCGGGGGGCAACATCACTGGCCCCCAAAAGGCCGAATGGTAGCGGGTATCCGGACCCTGCCGGCGGACGGCGGCAGGGGGGGGGGGGGCGGTGAGCGGGGAGCGACACCACCGGCCCCAAACAGACCGAACGGCAGCGGGTAGCTGGACCCTGTCGATGGACGGCGGCAGGGGGGGGGGGGGGGGCGGTGAGCGGGGAGCGACACCACAGCCCCAAACAGGCCGAACGGCAGCGGGTAGCCGGACCCCGCCGATGGACGGCGGCCGGGCGGCGGCGGTTAGCGGGGAGCGACACCGCCGGCCCCAAACAGGCCGAACGGCAGCGGGTAACCGGACCCTGTCGGCGAACGGCGGCAGGAGGGAGGGGGGGGGGGAGGAGGCGGCGGTGAGCGGGGAGCGACACCACCGGCCCCAAACAGGTCGAACGGCAGCGGGTAGCTAGACCCGGTCGATGGACGGCGGCAGCGGGGCGGCGGTGAGCGGGGAGCGAAACCACCGGCCGAGCGAGGCAGCTTCACAGCTGCTCACGAGCGCAACACATAAGGGGTTCATGACTACTCTGCTGGCAGCTATCGAACTTCAATAAACCGGGAGACACTGGTTAAACAGTGTTATCAAGCAGACGTTGCTGATAGTGTAAATGCCCGACGTTTCAAACTGTGATCATCGTCAGGAGTGGAGAGGGTTAAGCCAAAAAGCTACCTTTAAAAAACAGTACACGGGAATCCAGAAAATGACGTGCAGCCACTTTCACTAGAAAAATAGCTTGTGGTGTCTGCATTTCATAAGGGGCACGGTCAGTTCTTAAACACGTTCCTGTTAGTGGTGCAGACAGCTAATGTCTTTCAGGATTTGCGATGCGTTCCGCTGCCGAGGCTGTATGGCGGCGCCTGCCTCTCACCCCAGCAGAAAGGGCGGGCACCGCGGGGAACCGAACCCCGGACCCTCTGATACCCCAGACACACAGCTTAACCACTACACTACCGACATCCAGGTGCGAAAGACCTGCGATTAACAGGGTGAGGTGCTATTTAATAGCACAGTTTTGCTACTTACAATCAGATGTGATCTCCAGAACGCCGTGGTTTACCCACGCGTGGCATCGCAGATTGTAGAAGAATATTTGATGGTCGTAGCATATGTTTTCTAGCTGGTGACGATGTGTATAGCCACCAAACACCACCATGTAGTCGCCTGAAATGGCATACAGTGAGTACTGTGTAACCTCTCCAACTATGAACCAAAAGTGGTAAATGATGCAGTATGCAAACAAGAGCAATATATGACGCTTACCATGCTACACAATCCGTTGTCACCGGTAGAAAAGTATTTAATCTGGATGTAAAAGCGTTCGTAACAATGTGCTTAGGTTGTCCTGATAAACCGGACGATCAATCAGCCCCAAGCTGACAGTATTGACAAATCAAGGAGCATCAAAGCTTTTCATACCATATGCCAAGTATTTGAGCGCGTCAATCGCGCAGTTATTTGGAAAAATAACGGGGACGGCGCGCAGCAGCAGTGGGCTGTAACGCCAGGAGCCGAGGGCTCCGCGGCGTTACAGGAGCGTCTCTCCACGGCGAGCCGAGGGCTCCGGGTCGGCACCAGGTCCGGTCAGACCTCGACGGCCCGCGCACATACCACTCACCGGCTATCGCGGCCACGTGGAAGGCGCGCTCGAGCGGCACGTGTGCGTCTAGCTGCTGGGCGCGCGGGTAGGCCAGCTCGGACCAGAACAGCTCGCGCAGGTGGAACAGGTACATCTTGTCCGAGAGCATGGGGAAGCGCACCACGTCCACGGCCAGGCCGCCGTACACGAGCAGCGAGTCCGCCTCCGCGTGGTACAGCGTGCTGTGCCCGACCAGCTGCAGGCTCGGCTGGCGGCCGCCACGCGGCGCCACCTGCGCCCAGCGCGCGCCCGCCGCGTCCACGCGCAGCCGCCAGAGGTCGCCGAGGATGGTGTCGCCGGCGCCGGCGCCGGCCAGCAGGTAGAGCGTGCCGTCCGGGCCGGGCGTCAGCGTGTGATGGAGGCGCGCCGCCGGCCGCGGCCGCGCCGCCAGTCGCCGCCACGCGCCCGACGTCACGTTATACGCCCAGAGATCGTCCAGGAGGCGGCGCCGCGCACCTTGGCCGCCGTGCACCAGCATGAGGTCGGCGCCGAGCGGCGCGGCCGCGTGGCCGAACCGGCCCGCCGGCCAGCAGTCATCGGCCCGGGGAGGCGGCCCGCACGCCTCGTCCGCGGTCCGGCGCGTCCAGGCGCTCGTCGCCAGGTCGTACGCGGCCACATCGTCCAGCACGCGGTTCAGATCATACCCGCCGAACACCACGTACCGGTCCAGCGACGGGAAAAAGACGGCGGCGTGCCTGGCGCGACCGAGGTGCGGCGCGTCGTCCAGCACGTGCCAGCGGTTGCCGGCCTGGCCGGCGCCGAGGCCACAGTCGCGGCCCGAGAAGCCGGGCCGACAGCGGCAGCCGGCCGGGGGCGGCGGGCACTCGCCCTGGCCGGCGGCGGCGTGACAGCCTGCCGGGCAGCGCGGCCACTGGCAGTGCGCGCCGCGCCGATCCGGCGGGCAGCGGCAGCGGCCGGCCTCGCAGCGGCCCACCCCCGAACAGTCGGCCGGGCACGCCGTCACCGCGTAGTGCGCCCGGAACCCCTCCATCACGTAGTTGGTGTCGGAGAAGAACAGCACCGTCATCTGCGGCGGTGGCGGCGGCGGTCAGCGGCGGTCGGGCGGCATAGAACCGGCAGGTCAGCGGCGCGGGGTTGACGACCGCGGCAAACATTCGGTGCCCCGGCCATCCAGACCACTCAGTCGGATATACGACCGGCGAGTGGGCGCAGCGAAACAGCAGCACTAATGAGGACCATACCGAAAAGCACGTCTAGCCATACAGCAAAGCAAAACAGCTTCTGACATCCCCCTATCTAATAACGACCACCAGCACGTTACCAACACTTCAACTCAGCACACCTCTGAAACGCTACTAACTTTTCCGGAGGAGGCGACCAGAGGTAGCGGGACGCTCTTGCCCTTGCCGCTGAAGCTGCCCAGCAGTGTGGTGTTGGGTGCGATGCCATCGTACACGAAAACCTGATCATACGAGCACTCCGTCTCCAACTCTTCGAATGTCAGCGTGACATACCGTCCGAGGGTTTCGTTTGCTGAAAACAGGGAAACTGCTATCGAACAGCAGTCACCAGGTAACACATGACACCAAAAATAAGTCACTCTTGACTATCTAAGAATGCACCAGGAAACCAGAAGAGTACAAATAGTGTGAAAGTGACTGTGACATTTGTTCCTGATGATCATGGTGATAATCAAACATAGTGACCACAAGCTGTCCCCGCTCGTGAATTCCGTTCACGATCTTCACGTCTCAGTCCGATTTTAGGCTAATCTTTCATGTGCCCCGCCCTCGCCTGCATGACAGGCATCGAGCGAATCTAACGCCACAGCGCTCACGCGCGTCCACAGCTAACCCAGCGTTCGTGGCCAGGTAGGTGGTGATGCTCACGGTGGATGATCCACTGGCAGTACGTGTCGTTGCGGTGCTGGCCGGGCCCGTCTGTGATGACGCCGCTGGCCGCCGTCAGCAGGTGGCGATCCCGGGTGCAGCCGCGGCCGCCCGACCAGCAGCAGCTAACAGCTGCCGCCCACAGCAGGCCGGCCAGCAGCCGGCGGCGGCGCATCGCGCGCGCGCCGCACGCCGCCCCGTCGGCGCGTGAGTCACGCTGGGCAGATGGGGGAGCGGTGAGGGCCTGCTCCCATCGCCAGTGCTCCCAGTGGAGATATGCTGATGCTGATGTGAGCTTTGTGCCTGCTCTGGAGCTGACAGCACTGGAGGTCACCTGGAAACTAATTATTTGGGATTTACTTAGACATTCTAAATTGTGTTGGTACATTGGGAACAGCTCTTCAAGCGCTTTGGTTCTCAAGGAGCTGCATTTACATGGAGATTGAATCCCTCATGTGATACTGTCATGCATCGATTGAGCCTTGTTTGAGAAATGTTGTTTGTGATGGTTGCTGCAACAATACTGTATCATGTAGCATTGCATGACAAAATTGTGCTTGAAACCACTACTGCTTAACCAACATCTTAGGGACTCATGCCTAATAAGCACAGGCCACCTGCACAAGACATGTCACTGGGGGGTTCTGGTAAACAGACATGGCTCTGAACACATCTTGAATATATGGATGTGAAGAGTACAGCCCCATCAATTTGTGCCTCATCCATCCCACCTACCCAGTTATCTGTCATGGCACTGAGCATAACACATTTGAAAACCTGTGACAAATCCAGTTAAGCAGGGAAGAGGAAAACTTATCAAATAGGCCTGCAGGGATGCCTCAGGCTCAGCTGGATCTCTGATTGCCTGAAATTCATGAATTAATATTCAGATCAAATGTAACAAACTAGATGGGGGAAGTGTACCCAGCTAGGAACTCAGATCTATGGAGTGCATGTGATGGAATTGTTGGTGCTGAATGCTGCTTCTATGCAGTGATGCATTCACATAACATGCATTTTTGCAGTCTTGCCATTAGAGCCCAGTGACATAATCATGTGATGGGGCACTGGGACCACAAACCAACCTTGAACCAAGAGATATGCTTTAAACTCAAAATGGTACCAAGGCAATTTGGTTGACAATAAAAGAAAAGGACATAGTATTACATCATAAAAGATCACTGCATGAAACTTTTGAAATTGGAGGCAAACAAGACTGCTTGAGAGAATTTATTACCCTTTTGAATCAACTCTTGGAACAGTCCTCCACATGAAATACTTACAGATACAGTCTATAACTACAATAAGTCTGCAAACCATGACAGATTTCTGCAAATTTGGTTGTGGCAACAGTGGGACACAACCTAAACACAGCCCCAATCCTTGCCTGAGAGTTCCTGAAATCCTTGCATAGAGACGTTCTACGCAACTTCCTTGCCATGCATTTCAGCTGTGTGGCTTGTCCCACCAATATGGGAAGCAGGCTACATTTTATGTTATTTGAGCATGCCATTACATGGCATAAACCCAAGAGAGAACACAACTAGTGGGGACGGCACGTTAGGTGATTCCGAATTTGGGATCCGAAATATCGTTGGGCTGTCCCCATCCAACTCTTCTTTAAAGAGTACATAAGAGGACCAGAAGTACCAACGCTCATACTTACATGCTATAAAGGTGCAGGTACTTGATTCATTCGCCAGGATAGCATGAAAACTTAAGTATGCATCGTACATGCACCTAACCAGCCGTACCCCACCTAAGTGCTTCTGCCCACTCTTTGTTTACCATTTAGGGATGTCTACTGGGTTACAAATGCGGCGCGAAATGCGCGCCAAACATGTGAGATTAGTCAAAACCCGTCAGCTGGTTTCAAATATGATGTCATCAATGTTCATTGACCTAAGAGCGTAAGTATACGACGGGAGTCGGGTCACTTATAAGTACTGAAATCTCTTGATGTATCTTTATCGGTCTCGAGACTCACATTATATATTGGTGGCTTGCTCAATTCACCATGGAAGTAGTTGTTTCCTGACGTCGTGTAGTAGCCTCAGTTGACTACAAACTACAGTGACCTTGATAGATATGCCGCACCTGTACGCGAATTCGTACCAGTGTGAATGATGTGTCTAGGCAGTTAGTGGGGCCTTGGTACAAAGGCTGCGGGTTGTGAATTTGAGGTGAGAGGTTTGTGGTTTCGTGTAGATGGATGTGCTTGTGTTTTTGAAGAATTGTCACGTTACGATTTAACCAAGAACGATTGGAAATCAATATCAGGCTGCTCTCGGACCACGGATATCAGGTTTGCGCATAAGGTGGGTTGTGATTTAATATTGGATTATATTTGGTACATCCGTGAATGAAAGACGTCTTCAGCTTGACATTGAACTTAACATCGCATGAAATCGGGCGAATTATAGAAAAAAACAAACGGTGTGTCTTTTGGTTAGGCAGATACCAGCTGTGAAAATTACTGACATTTGTGTGTGACCAAAGTCTACCAAGGGCCTCAATGATTTGTTGCACCACTAACCATGTTAATCTGTTAGGAAAGTCTTTTGCCTATCCTTCCACCACACAAGAGATTTTGGGTGCTGGGTTTGTGTCTCAGAAACCAAGCTGAAGTGATCTGTGCCTAACACCCAACCAGCAAGGATAGTCAGGTTGGTGTGGGGAGTGAGTCAGACATAGACATTCCCTGGTGATAATTTCAGAAGCATAAATATTCTGTTGCAATGTGGGTTCTGCTTCTTTGCATCATAGGTATGGATTTCCTGAAAATTAGAGACCTTAAATGTTAAAGCTATATTTTTTAATAAAATGTGTGAAAGGTGTGTTCCACATTTGTATGTGGTTTTGAACAGAAATGGCAATATTGATGATCATTTAATGCAGTTCACAGTTCTTCCCTTCTTATGACCTAAACCTCTAGTTTCTGAGCTACATGCCTGTGAAAATGTGTGGACTATTTCAAGGTCACCCAGGCAAGCATGGCACCATAATGACAGCATTCAAATTCTGCTACTCCAGTTGTCATGCTACAATTAGGGCAAAAAATTGCTGGGTTTGAATAGTAAACATCTTGGATCATAATTTCCAGACAAAACACACACACACACACACACATTAGTTTGTTCTCCATGCTTTGCAAGGTGTGGTAATGTAATCAAACACTGTCATATTGAGCATATTTATGGATCAGGAAATTGGGTTGTGTAGAGTGGTCTTTCCTACTTAAAAAAATAGTTAGGAGTGAGCTTACTGCAATATACCTTATGTATGCTTCAATATCTTCAAACATGTAACATTTCCTTTAATAACATAGATGTTTGAATGGTCTATAGTGTTAGTTTTAAAACAATTTGATCATTCTTAGCAGATGAGATGTCATATGTCTATACAGATGTCTGACATGTGTACATATGTCTGTCATATGTCATGTGTTGTATGTCATGTGTCTATGCATATGTCTGAATGGTCTATAGTTATAGTTTTAAACAGTTTTACTATCCCTAGCAAATGAAATGTCAAAAATTGCCTTGCAGGTTGTGCAGAACAGATTGGAAAACAATAATGTTGTTAGTCTTAGCATATTAAATGTATTAATTGGCCAAACCTGTTGTGCAGAAGAGGATGGAGAACAATGATTCTGGACAGCTCCTGCTCGTGGAAAGAACGGGCATCCCAATGAATGAGCTGCTCATGTTCTGTTGTGACATTCCCATTTCAGCCAAATAAACAATGCCACTAGGGTGTCACAGGAGTAGTCATGGGATCACCTCTGTCATCTACAAGGAACATTTTGAAGATATTCTGATAGGAAACCACCCCACTGAAACCATCAGTGTGGCTGTGCTAGGTCAGTGACACCTTCATCCTCTTGACTACATCAGGAAGGTGTAACAAAGTTCTTTGAGGAGAGCCTGGAACCATTTATCCAGCACACTGCAGAACCTGGAGGAAGATAACAGGCTACTCTTTCTTGATGTCAGAGTTGGGAGACAAAAGCATGTGTATAACACCAGCATACCAGAAACCTATGTTACCCAGTACCTGTCTGAACTTTCAGTCACACAACCCAGACACAGTCAAGAAAGGCATCTTGATATGCATTTAACAGATAGGTAAATATAAATAAGAAAGCAGTAGGCTATGTGATAGGAATATTCTGTAGGAATGGGTGCCTGAAAGACTTTTTAGATTAGAAACCCAAAGAGCATGCTTGACAAACAGGACAGCTATTCAAGAAGTTGATAGCAATGATATCATTACTTTATAATGCATGCCTGTCAGAAAAGATGGTGGGAACAGTCAACTCCTGTTTGTATCTTAGTGACTCCAAGGAGAAAATTTGGGCCACGCATGTGTGCATGCATTGCTGGAGCCAAATGCCATGCCATTGGTTAGGACTCAGCAACAGCTGACAAATGGTGAAAAATTAACTGGCTGAAACATTGTGTGCATTCTAATACAACAGATGAGAATGGCAGCCAAGGCAATTATAACATCTGAAGTCATGGGATGATTAATTTGTGACTTTATTTGAAACAGTGCTTTTAGATCTGAGACATATGTGTGAAGCCTGATTTCAGGTTGTCTTTAAAATATCTGTGAGGTGTGGTGTTTTTCACAGATGGCTAGTATCAGTGAGATATGCGAGAGTACGCGGATGGCCCGTGAGATGGCTCTGTTGGGCAACTACGAGTCGGCCACTGTATACTACCAGGGAGTGGTGCAGCAGATCCACCGGCTGCTGCAGAGCATACAGGACCCATCCAGGAAGCTCAAGTGGCAGCAGGTTGCTATCTCATTTGTTATTGATATCCAGATTCTCTGCATGCCTGGCTTTCCAAATGTATTGTGAAATGTTGCATGTATATTTGGCAGTTGTCACAGTATATTTGAATATGGGGCACATATGAAACATGTCATTTTTTTAAGTGAACTGTCATCTCATCTCTTATCTCATCATCATCTCATCATCATGTCATGTCATGTCACGCCTGTACTGAATGATCACATATCTTGGTATGTTTGTTTACTCTCCAACTGTCTCGCTGCTGTTGTGTATATTTCCCCAGCTGAGCCGTTGTCCCCGCTGACGTGGCGTGCCCGGCCGCAGGTACAGCAGCACATTGCTCGCGAGTACGAGCAGGTGAACGGCATCACGCACACCCTGAGTCTGTTCCGCGCCGACAGCCACGACAGCAGGCCCATCGGTGAGCAGCACCGGCCCGGCGCTCGTGTGGCCTCCAGGCGTCAACCGGCTTTGCTCGGGCATGGTTGTGGAAGCGCGAGTCTGTGATCAGCAGCGTGAGGGACTGGCATGATATTGGACAGGTCGTCGTCCCCCCAACACACTCACCAGGATGTGGGAAATGCAGGACTCCGGGGTCGTGATGAAAAATTGAGGAGGAATGTCCAATGGGGACTATTCTCCTATTGCTCAGCATCCAGGCTGGAAGTCAGTATAAGAAAATCCCATAACAGCAATGTATAAAGAGGGGCGCTGTGGTGGCTCGTGGATGCTGTTCTGCAGTGCCTTCGTTCTGAGGGCTCCCTCTGTTGTCCGGCGAATCTGGTCGGCCGATCACCGGGCCCCACGCATAAAATGAACCACGGCGTTTGGGTCGGCCTGCTTCACTGCCAACATTGGAGTGTGGCCAAGGAGGCCTGGCTTAGCTGCTTGATAGAGCTGGCAGTCATGTGTGGGGTACTCAGTGTCCTCCAGCGCCCCATACCCTGGGCACAGACAGTCGTTGCGAAGCCTGTTCCACCGGATCAGCGTAGCACGGGACAGCGGGCGTTAGTTGGCGCGGACTTGAGGAGAGCCACTTGCTCGTGAGCGAACCAGCCATCTTCATACTCCAGGCTTTATCCCCGGTCGGTCTTCTGTGGACGTGCTCGGGCGACACGGTCGTGTGGCAGGTGTCCCATCAGTTCTTCAGCCACGCTCTTTGGAGAGCTGAGCTAGCTGCGGTCGCTAGTGGAGGTCGATGCCTACATTGCTTTGGAGCTGGAGCCCCCCCCCCCCCCCCATTGCCTGCTTTCCCCGCTTTTTCATTGCCCTTGATTTTCGCGTGGCCTGGAACGCTGGCAACTTGGACGTTGTTTTCATGCCGACTCAGGATGGCTAAGGATCGCCCTATCTTTGAGATGGTTCCTGAGTCATCGTTTCTCGGGCCTCTACTGAGGTGGGAAACGAGGGAGAGTGAGTTCGTGCAGAATCGGAAGCGCTTGATTCCCTTTTGGGAGTCAGCTGCGTCCTGAGCCGCCGCCGCTGGGGGCGCCACCTGCCCTGATCGGCACGGGCCTCCCCACCAGTCAGTGGGTACGCTCGGAGGAGCCGTCGGTAAACTAGATGCTGCCGGCTGCGGCATGGCTGCGACTGCGCTTGCCACCACCGCCCTTCTGGTTTCCGGAGAGTCGATCCGCCTCGTGCTCCTCCCGCCCCGATGTGTCGAACACGGCGGTGCGGGCCCTGGTACGCAGCCAAGGGGGCCGCTTGGGCAGTGAAGTCCCTTCGCGCGGGAGGCCTTCCAACCCGACGACCGCCGCTAGGTGGACAAATGGCACCTGTCAGGGTCTCCTGCTTCGGAGGCGGCGTTTGGTCTGCCGTTTGATCGAACGGTGGGATGGGACCTCAAGTGTTACGCGCGGAACTCACCCTTGCAGAGTCGCCCCGCTGCTGATCTGGTCTGGTGGTAACCTCGCTGCCGGAAACCACTTGTCCCGGGCTTCCAGGGCGTGTTGTGACGCAAACAATCCGCGTAGTAACACGGGCGTCGCCACTGAGGCTGACGCCAGCCGTGTGCCCCGCGCGCAGGCACTTCGCTGCGTGCCTCGTCGTTCGAGGAGCCCACGCGCGATCCGGACGTGTGGCCGCCGCCGCCGCCCCGCGACCCGGACGTCTGGCCGGCGCCCACCACCTCAGAGCACAAGTCAGTCTCCGCCGCGCCCGGCCGCCCGCCCGGCCGACCACCTCACAGTGATGGAGGCCGCGGCCTTGCTGGCTCGCTCGCCCACTTACCTGTTTCCGACTGTTGATCGGCGGGCTGGGCTAGCGTAGCTTAGCTCAGCGGATCATGAGCATCACCAGCTGTCCCTCTGTTGCTCGCTTTCACCAATCGGTCAGAGCCCAGCCGTGCTGATGGTTTCTCAAGCACCACACGTGGCCACGCTGTGACCTCAGGCTGTGCGTTTATCCCACGCTCTCGGGCGTGTTCCCCTTTGACGTCCGTGTCTACTCCCTAATACCTGTATCTCCTTGATGCCCGTGTCTGTCCTCTTATGCTTGTGTCTCCCTCCTGATGTCCGTGCTTCTAGTCTCCCGTGACGTCCGTGTCTTTCCCCGACGCGCGTGTCCACCCCGTGGCACCCGTGTCTCCCCTTTACTCCCGTGTCTGCCCTGACGTCCCTGGCTGCCCCCTGACGTCTGTACAGGCAGCCGCCGCAGGTACGACCCGTGCGTGGCCCGAAAAAGGCTGCCGACTCGAAGCCACCATCGCGCAACTCGCGCAGCGGCGGTGGCGCCTCCAAGCGGACGGGTGGTGGAACCTCGAAGGCGCGCCGCGAGGACAGCAAGAGCAGCGACCGGCGCGCCAAGGGCGGCAAGGACGACAAGAAGACTGATGATAAGGTGGGGCTTGTTGTGGGTGTGTGCAGAGACATTGGAGGTCTCCCGAGTTGGTGGTCAATATCGATTGCTCGTTATTTATTTCCAGTCAACACCCATAGGCTAAATGTTAAATTATCAAACAGTTGTAGGGTAACAGCCACTCCTTCCTCCCCCTAGTTCCCGCACCCCTCGGTGCGTGGATATCAGTTGGTAAAACGCGTGTGAGGTGAAGTGATTTCCTTGTTACAATCCAGCGCTGCTGACTTTTGAAGGAGTACGGCCAATCTTTTAATTGCAAAACAGCGATTGAAAAACGGCTTCCCAGTTTATGGTGTTGGGGTGGGTATTCCAGGATTTATATTTTGAGGTTATCGCGGCACGCGAAAATGGGTTGCTTTATTGCGTCCCGACAGCATACAACTTACCACCAATGGGTCGTTGGTGCTGGCATGCGGCTCTATTGGTGACGTCACCCACCGGTCTCGGTGCTGGGCCGTCAGCACTCCGCTGGCCGTGTCCCGCTGTCAGCCTCGGCCTCCAGTCGCGTGCTGGCATCACCGCCCCGTGAGACGCCGCCTCAACGGGGGCCTGACGGCGCCTCGCCGCCGCAGGGCTCGGAGAAGGGTGCCGACGGCAAGGAGGCGGGCGCCGAGGGCGGGGCCGAGGACGACGAGGAGAAGCGGTTCGACCCGTCCGGCTACGACCGCGACCTGGTCGAAATGCTGGAGCGCGACATCGTGCAGAAGAACCCGGACGTGCGCTGGGACGACATCGCCGACCTGCACGAGGCCAAGCGGCTGCTGGAGGAGGCCGTCGTGCTGCCCATGTGGATGCCGGACTTCTTCAAGGTAGGTGCGGCCACGCCTGCTCCCCTGGTGCTCGAGATGGTGCTCCCCTGGTGGCCGAGGTGGTGCTTCGCTGGTAGTCGAGGTGGTGCTCCCCTGGTGGTCGAGATGGTGCTCCCCTGGTGGTCGAGGTGGTGTTTCCCTGGTGGCCGAAGTGGTGCTTCCCTGGTGGTCGAGATGGTGTTCCCCTGGTGGCCGAGGTGGTGCTCCCCTGGTGGCCGAGGTGGTGCGCCCCTGGTGGTCGAGGTAGTGTTTCCCTGGTGGCCGAGATGGTGCTCCCCTGGTGGTAGAGGTGGTGTTCCCCTGGTGGCCGAGGTGGTGCTTCGCTGGTGGTCGACGTGGCGCTCCCGTGGTGGTACAGTGGCCCGTCTTAGTGGGCGCCACCACACTGCGAAGGTGGTTCGACGGCGATTTGTGGTTGCGGCAAGTAACCGTGATGGTTGTCTCGACTGTGTTTTCTTGTCACTGGAAAACCTTCGGAACAAAGGGAATTGCACGGTAGTCACGTGCGGAGGTGTCCAGTTTAGCGACTTGTTTTTGTCGGATCCCCGTCCATAAGTTCTTTAACCGCTTCCTCCGCCCAACTCCGACCCAACCGAACTGTTGCTCTCCAAGACACGTGAGGTAGCGGCACCGCACTGTTGCTCTCCAAGACACGTGAGGTAGCGGCACCGCACTGTTGCCGTCTCTGCCCTGTTTCTGCCCCGGAGTGTGCGCCCGATATGGTAGCGCTCTCTGACCGGCGCTGCGATGACCCCCCCCCCCTTCCGTCACTGTCGGCAGGGTATCCGGCGTCCGTGGAAGGGTGTGTTGATGGTGGGCCCGCCCGGCACGGGCAAGACCATGCTGGCCAAGGCGGTGGCCACCGAGTGCGGCACCACCTTCTTCAACGTCTCCTCCTCCACGCTGACCTCCAAGTACCGCGGCGAGTCGGAGAAGCTGGTCCGCCTGCTGTTCGAGATGGTGTGTGGCGGGCGGGGCCGGTGACACTCGGCATGGGCGGTGCGCAAGGAGCAGGAAGGCCGTGTCGGACCGACTGGTGCCGGCTAACGACGCTTCTGAGCTGATGGTAGCGTAGTGTCGCCTTCTTTGCGTTAGGTGTGACGCTTGTAGTGTGGGATCATGTGTCTAACGGGATTTTTCTATTGCACCACGACTTTGAGCTGATCGTGACCTCGGCGTGTGGAACTAGGTAGACGCGTGCCCCGCCCACACCGTCACCTGCGGCTGTCGTCCACAGGCACGGTTCTACGCCCCGTCCACCATCTTCGTGGACGAGATAGACTCTCTGTGCTCGCGGCGAGGCTCTGAGACGGAGCACGAGGCCTCGAGGCGGGTACGTCGCTGGGGCGATCGCCGCACTTGGCGCCCCGTGGAGACGGGCCGCGCCGTGCCGCCACACGGCCCTGTGCTCACTGAACCGGGGGTGGGGCTCTGTCGAACACTCAGTGATCAATAAGGAAGGGCTATGCGTCCGGTCTTGACTGTCGACATCGGCGTTTTCATGCGTTTTGAGAATCGGAGGCCCGCGAAACAAAGGCACTGAAAGACCTCAGATTCGGAGTGGCTGCACCGTGTCGGCAGCGTTTCATGTGGCTTCGTGTCGATGGTCCACGGCTGTGCCCAGGAATGTGACGCGCTGTGACGCTCGCCTGCCGCCGTCCGCCGGCCCGCCGAGCGGGGCGGGGCGGGGCGGACGGCAGCCGCGCTGTGACGCCCGCCTGCCGCCGTCCGCCGGCCCGCCGAGCGGGGCGGGGTGGAGCGGACGACAGCCGCGCTGTAACACCCGCCTGCCGCCGTCCGCCGGCCCGCCGAGCGGGGCGGGGTGGAGCGGACGGCAGCCGCGCTGTGACGCCCGCCCGCCGCCGTCCGCCGGCCCGCCGAGCGGGGCGGGGCGGGACGGAGCGGACGGCAGCCGCGTTGTGACGCCCGCCTGCCGCCGCCCGCAGGTGAAGTCTGAGCTGCTGATGCAGATGGACGGCATCAGCTCGTCGCAGGACGACCCGGGCAAGATCGTGATGGTGCTGGCCGCCACCAACTTCCCCTGGGACATCGACGAGGCGCTGCGTCGTCGCCTGGAGAAGCGCATCTACATCCCACTGCCCAACAGTGAGTGCAGCGGTCCGGCGCGGGTGGAGGTGGGCTGACGGACGTCTGTGGTGCGTCGGTCGGTGCATGCCCGCCGCCTCCTCTGAGGTGCAGGGCGATGGTGTAATTGCAACCTCCACCGTGTTCACTGCAGGTCACACAACCACGCTGTACGGATTTTTGGATGGTTGTAAGAACAGGGTGGTGGTGGGGGCAGGAGGGGGGACTGTTGGTAAATTCACTGGCGGAAGGACATAAGCGAGAAACAATAGTTAACTTGCTGCCCTTTTCTAAGTGTGTCCCTGTCGGGTGAGTGCGGGTATTATACACTAGTTCCAAGCATTGGTGGAACCTCGTGTCTCCTTGAAATACCCAATGTCCCTTCCCTCGTACTATGTACCACCCGAATGTCGTAGCACACTAAGGGGGACCAGGAGAAACTGGGGCCCCTCCCCACATAAAAGACCGGTTTCTCTCCCCCACGGTACTATTTCATCAGTTCCACCCCGAGGTGCAGCACTGGGGTGGGCCAGGCGTCGCCGCTCAGGATGGGTCGCGTCGGCGCTTTGACGGAGCGTCCTCGTGCTGCTGTCCGCAGGTAATGGTCGGGAGGCGCTGCTGCGGATCAACCTGCGGGAGGTGGAGGCGGACCCGACGCTGGACTTGAAGGTCGTGGCCGATCAGCTGGACGGATACTCGGGGGCCGACATCACCAACGTCTGCAGGTGGGGGCAAGCATGCGCCGCGAGCGCGGGCGAACATGCAGACGGGGTCGGTCTGTCGCCCTGACCTGCCATGTTTAGGTTCGTGCGGCTCGATCCCAGCTTTGGGAGCTCATTCCAGCTCCCCGTAGCTGCCGTATTGTATCGCTGGTGGCCGCTGTCCACCCCCTCCCCTCCCCGCGACCGTGACTGTGGCCGTGACCGCCGCCTGGCGGCCCGCCCGGTCCGTATGTGACGCTGGCGGCTCATGCGGCAGGGACGCGTCCATGATGTCGATGCGCCGCAAGATCGCCGGCCTACGTCCGGAGGAGATCCGCGCCCTGCCCAAGGAGGAGCTCGAGCTGCCCGTCACCGACCACGACTTCAGCGAGGCCATCGCCCGATGCAACAAGTCCGTCTCGGCCGCCGACCTCGACAAGTACGAGAGCTGGATGCGCGAGTTCGGCTCCAGCTAGGAGGCGGGCGCGCGCCGCCCTGGCGCTCCGCACACGTCGACGGGTGCGGGGTTGTGGAGCGGCCAACGACGTCTGGCTGACTGAGTCACTGCCCGTAGGCCAGCGGACAGAGAAGACTGACGCACGTCTGGGACGCGAGCGGCGTCTGGCTGACTGGGTCGCTGCTCACAGGCCAGCGGACAGAGAAGACTGACGCACGTCTGGGACGTGAGCGGCGTCTGGCTGACTGGGTCGCTGCTCACAGGCCAGCGGGCGGAGAAGGCTGACGCACGTCTGGGACGTGAGGCGCCGGTAGAAGCGAGTTATGTTGTTTCCAAACCCTTTATACACTGGACGGCACTGTGATACTAACGAACTAGCACCATCTTTGCTCACTGACTTATTTAATAATTTAATATAGAGCTTTGTAGCATTCTGCCACGGGGTATAAGGGTGGTTGTGAATCTGTGAGTGTATTGTTGCTTAAAATTTTGAGGTGAGTTCGGCATGAGTGATGCATATTAAACTTAACTTACAGTTTGAAGTAAAGTAAAACATTGAGTATACATTCCTGCAACGGGACACAATTGTTGACAGCGTCATCACTCATTCACAGATAAACGCGCATTCTGGAAACGAAATGTAGGTTTTTGTCTTTTGTATGTTAGCACACATTTACGTCTAATAAAAACACTATAGCAAATGCTGGTTTTTTATGATGTACCATCGGCATGCATGGGGGTAACAAGCATGGCACAAACCACGTACCTTCCTTCAGTCTCGTCCCGAGCGCGATACCCCTGCCCCGGACTGCATCACACCCTCACCAAAAAAGTACAAAAATGAAAAACACTCCGCGCACTCTGACATATAGGACCAATGTGCTCTCCGTTGGAGGAGGACGGCACTATCCGGCAACGGTAACAACGGAAGAGATTCAATCGCTATCATATTACCAAAACGTCAGGAAGACAGTTAGAGTGAGGCTAACACGGCAGTACGTGAAGGGCGTCCCCGATCACTGGCGGCCGGGTGGCGCGTGCGGCGCGCGGCGCGTCCGGGCGTCCCAGGAGCGGCGCTCGCCGCACGTGCGCACCGCCTACTGGGCCTTGCCGGCGCCGCGCACCCGCCACGCGGCCAGCAGCCGGCTGGAGAAGAGCAGCGAGAAGGCGTGCACCTGCAGTGCCGCCAGCAGGAACGCCAGGTTGATCATGGAGTACGGGTACCCCTGCCGAGAGCACGGGCGTCAGAGACGACTGCGTACAGCACCGTTCCGGTCCGGCAGCAGCTACACTCGTACGACACGCCTCGCCAGCACGCTGCTGTCAGATGTTTATGTTGTACACTGTGCCACACAGCCGTAACGATATATGGTGAGGGGTTCAATCGACCAAGCGGTCAGGCAGAACGGGTGTGGCAGCGACAGCACCAACCTTCACTCGGGTAACTACAATATCAGCATTTCGTCGTAGTGCCGCCTAGTCCCAGTACCTTCGTTTTTTGGTAGCTTCAGTATGCCACGTTTTCCCAGTGCCTTCCACCCATGCATGGGATCCTAGAAAACTCTCCATTGTCTCGCGAGCACGGGTTTACCCGACGTCGCGCCGTTACCTGCCAGACCAGCTGGCCCTCCGCCGAGCCACTGGACGCGAACCGGTAGACGTCGGGCAGGTAGTAGCAGAGCGCAAACAGCGCAGGCGCCAGACCGAGGGCGACGATGCCACCTGCAGGCCATGCCAATCATAGCTCCAGGTGCTAGGGGAGTTCTATCAGGGTGTTTTGACCAGATGGCTGCCCAATACATCAACTTTCAGAACTCAACTTTGCTAGGACCAGGCAGAAACTGTTGTTAAAAAGCAGATTTGAATCCCATCAGAAGCAAAAAAAGCAGAGATTTTCCCAATGTTGCACCTTTTATCTGGTTGAAGATGTCATAACTTGAAGGACTGACATAGTCATTGCTTAATACCACCACACCAAATGTGCCACTACCAAGGCCCACGTTAAGACTGGCATGTATGGAACTATCATACAGCATAATGAACAAATGGATGAAGGGCAATGCTGCAAGAGTAATACAGCACATGGAATACCATAACCAGCAGGTACCACAGCCTTCCACATGCTCAACCCAAATCGAGTCAGCCTGATCTGCATCAGTGACTAGGATGTTTGAAGCATGTATCATGGAAAAATATGGATAAAATAGTGACTGGAACCAATGGCCTCATCCAGCATCCCTGCCATGTATTAAACTGTTCCCTGACAATGTTATTAACTCACCAGCATAAACCTGAAGCAGAAGAGTGTTGTTCTTCTTGCAAGCAGACCAGGCAAAGAGAGAATATAACATGCAGAAGCTCCATACATATTCCCACTTCAAAGGCTGGAAAGGGCATGCAATGGACATGGTTAAATTTACCTCAAGTTGTATAACATTTTATTAACTATTTTGCAAAAATATACCAAATGCCAAAAGCATGTTTTGCCACAGAATACAAGAATTACACATCCAACATCCAACATACTTACAAAAACAAGCCAATGGAATTATTAAGAACTTGCATGTCATCTGCTGTTTAAAAAAGATGGCATGTTCAATGGGTGGCTTCTACATATGATACTAGCAGTCTTTCATACTGATGGTACAAACCTGGGGTATCTCAAGTTCCTCAATTTCCAGGATGAATATGTTCAACTTGTCCAAAATATCTGGTGACAGTTTAATGAGCATAACAATGAAGAGAAGCAGATGGAGAAACAGGCAGAACTTCAGCCTTGTTTTTGCCTGAACACTGTAAAGAAAATAGAGGTTATAAATAAAATGTCAAAAGTTCTTAATAATACAAAAAGGAATAATATAATAGCTTCAAGTGTGGAAAACTTCCAAACATACAATGACATGATATTTGGACAGCATGGCTCAGATATTGAGAGGGCATTATATCAGCTAGGACCAGGTAAAGCTTGAACCCTCACTTGCTTGCTGCATCTCAATAACCTTACATCCTAACCCTTATCCTCCTTTTGTCACCCCACTTTGGTCCTCCTTGATCCTGCTCATGGTGACTTGCATAGGAAAAGCCATGCATTATGGTAGCATCAAGTGGTCAAATACAAATGCATCCAAAATTTGAGGGCTAAACCAGTCTTCAAGAAATGGCAGCTCTTAGCCAGGTTGACTTGGGCAAGGTTAGGGCAAATACAATATTGTGTGACAGGTTTGATAAACTTTATGGCAGGATCCCAGCAATGAGAGGACATGCTATTCTGGGACACCTCACACCACCTCAAAGCATAAGTGGCTTAGTCAGAGCAACAAACTTTGTGACATGAGCAAGGCTGCTTTGAGGTTACCCAGGACTGCAGAGGCTACCTCTATAGGCTGTCCCAAATGTACCTTGGAAACTCTTGGAGCTCTTTGCAGGCCTTAGGATTAGCACCTAGGGGACAGATAAGTTCCCAACACTGCACCCAGCTTTCAAAAATGTCTGATGTTAGGTCAAGACTTCTTTTATTCCATTCTGTGAGCCACCATACTTTAATATCCAATTTGCCAATGAGATGTTAAAAAGGGTTGACCACACTTTTCCTTGTTACTACACCAATGAACTTTAACTTCTTAGATCCCTTTATACCAATGACCAATAACGGTGGGAAAATTTAGCTGCCTTTCACACCAATGACCTATGACAGTAGGGCAAAATATGGTCCTGTTACACCAGGTGTAGCCACATTCCAGCAATGTATGCATCTTACAAGCTTTTACCAACGCAGGATTGTAAATCAGAATGAGTATAGAAGTGCTTGGAAATTAACATGCTTGATTATTCAACATTGTTGGAAGCTGCACAACTGTCTCCAAAATCGATAAACACGGAATGTAAGCCTTAATCACTCACCTAACTTGATACTGCGAAGCAACTTTCTGCCGGTGAAGAAAGTCCCGTCCGTCCGTTCCCATGACAGTAGGGCCATTTTTAGACGCCATGATCGTCTGCCTGTGACGACAAAGTCAATATTCTGTTATTTTGGCCCAACTGTGGCGATACCTATCTGTCTCAACGCACTGGGAGCAAATAAACAGCTGCTGCCGAATGCCGCGCGTTCGCCAGATTATGCTGCCGCAGCTAACTAAAACACTGCTGATGAGTCTGCATACGGAGGCTTTTCGTGTCGGGATATAAATCGGTGCAAAACCGCTATCACTAATTACACTATGACATTCCTGAAATGACTGGGAAGGAAGCGTTTGTAGCTCAAGTCTCTGTTCTGGAAAATTTGTCATGCCTCACAATCTCCACTCTGGATTGCAACGAGAACGCTGCATGAAAGTCCCACCAGTCATGGGCAGTGCAGCCACAGAAAGGCTGCCGCCGCACCGCACACCAGGAAAGCAGACCCAGTTCTCCACGTGACGAGGTGAAATTACGCAATGCGGCGCGGCCGATGCACATAAGAGCGCCGGCGTCTAGAACACCCACCACCGCTCTCGGACTCTTGTTGAACCGAGGTGCGGGAGCAACTGACTGCGGCCGGACGGTCGGTAGCTGGAGAGCGTAAGGTCAGCAATCAGTCATAGGGGCGACAGGTGGAGGCTAGTTGAACGCCGGAGGCGAGTTCAGTACGCGACGGAGGGAATGAGAGAAATATGGAGAAGAAATTTGGAAGCTTGAAATACCATGATGAGGCGAATAGCCGCAGAAAGACAGGAGACGGCCTCAGCAGAAGTGGGACAAACCGGCGGGACCATCATGCGTGACAGGGGAATGGGAACACCTCAGGCAACGCTTCGCGTGCAATAGTCGCCTAAAAGTTAGTGTTTTGATTGTGCTAAGATAATCTAAATAATGATTACAGGACTTCTTTGACGCTACGATTATTTGTAAGTGGGACACACAAACTCGCGAACCAGCTATACAAACTTTGTTGTCGCTACACCACATCATTCGGTGGTTAATCTGGAGAAATGTTAAGGGAGCTGCGGTCGAATTGGCCTGTCATCCAAGCGCGTGATGATGGGATTGGATCTATCAAAGATGGTTTGTGAATTATAGAGCCGTCCATTGATCACACTACGCGTTTTTTTGTTGCCAATTTTCAACCCCTTCCCGTAGCTCGCACCGGTTGCGCTTGGTATGCCCGCCTCGTTCACACAGGTTATATTATGTTACGCGTAACGAACCACAAAGACGGCATCCGTTTGTTTCCTAATTGAGTGAGAGGCGCGATAAAAAAGGCGTGCTGCTTGTCATGACAGGAAGCCAAGCGTATCCGGTTGTAAAGTTAAGTATGTTGTAAAAATTTGGGTATGGTTTGCAATCGCACCCAGGTGTAGGTACCATTACGTCGTCCAACCCCCTAATCCCTTTGTAAAACGTTAGTTACGCTTTCTCAAGAGTCACACTGTACCGTCCCTCACTGAGTGACGTGATTTACTGAGGATTTCTGACTAAGTGCAACGTTACAGGTCAAACTCCTGTGACGCTTACGGATTCCTCTCGAGGGTGGCCTTCTATTTACATCGTAAAGACTGCAAAGCTATGGGCTCAGCGTGGACCCTATGGCGTGGGCACGGTAATGGTATGCCTGAAGTACTGGTACCTTCTTTATAACGCGTTGTTCTCGTCCGTGACGTTACGGCCTAAGACAGAGCACAAAGATGACAATATTTTAGATGTACAGGATTTGTAAGATAGAAGGGAGTTTTTTAACTGGAGCCATCTGGTCGCTGTGTTTAGCAATGCATTTTTGTTTATATGTTACCGTTATAATTATATAACCACTGTCTACTTCCATGGAGAAAATGGGTGGATGCCTCCAGAACAGAAAGTTTCCTCCTGTTTGGTACTGATGCAAGATACTGCAGGGGTGTCAATTTTTGTAAATTATTGGGCCCAACCGAAGGCCCGACGACCTCCCCCTCCCCCCCCCCCACGCACACATTTTCTCGCCAGATTTAGCCCACTTTATTCTGATTAAAGCAATATATGTTTTATCTTTGTATAAGTCATAAAAGTCCTTAATTTAAGCAACATAGAAGTCATGCAGGGCTGGATCTGGGGTGCAAGCACTGGACGCACCCGTCTCTTCTGATCGGCACGTGAGGGCGCCACTTTAGAGGCCACCTTAGGGCGCCGATGGCGCTCTTCTATGGTGGTCATGGGGGGCAACACGCATTTTGGTTGTGGGGGATGGGGACGGGATTAGCCATGAAGGACTTGGGTCATCCCCATATCCCAGAGTTTTTCACTTCAACCTAACGAACCATTGCTTGTCTTATGACGCTAATGTGAAGCTTATTGCACCGTTTATCCGCTCAGCTGTTACGATTTGTATCTTGTGGTGAGAGCAGCCATGACTTTTTGTTATGAGAGTGGTACGAGAGACCACAACGCAGAAGGATGAAAGAAGATAGTCATTCTGTTATAATCATTTTTCTCTCACGTTTTTTTGTAGTATTCCAGCCAAAAACGTGGGGGCAAGCGAGCATTGGGGGCCCCAACTCAACATGGGGGGTCAGAGCCCACGCAACAGAATACAAGTCGACCCCCGTGAGATACTGGAATTTCTGGTGAAGTCGACTCGTAAGATGTCAAGGCCGTGTCCTTTTCTCACGTGATCTGTACGAGCATCGTCAGCCAAGTGCATCATCAACTACATTGGGAGTGTGGCGGTGGTGACACCAAAGTAGCTTGCTTACTGTAGGAGCTTGCAATCTCCTTTGTCATAGTGAATCCGGTAAATAACGTTGGTACGTGCTCACCACTTGCTTTCCGGCCGGCCTCGGAAATCATGTCATAAGCTGTGGAAAGTTGAACTGATAGATAGCTACTCAGTGGGTTTGCCTGTCGCGGGCTCAGCAGTGGGACAAGAGCCGAGAGAAGCTAGGCGGAGGCGCACACTATTGCCGATGACTTGCACGGCACCTTAGCAAAACACATGCAGTAGCGTATGAAACGGACGCGCCGCGGCGCTGAGAGCGCGCCAATCGGCTGCAGATGTCGCCCCAGGTCAGCGCGCGGCAGCCCACTGACGACTGGCGCGTCCAGCGTACATACCGGGACGCAGATGTTCAGCTACAGTCGTGGCAATCAACGGAGTAAAACATAATACATAAAACATAAAACATACCCATCGGTTCGACCACAGCGCCACCTACGTGGTGCGATCGCCGGCCAGCCGGGGATGCCATGTACTCACCGGACGGCTGGCCGTCTCCGTCGTCCTGACCTCTGAAACACACCGGTATTATTTGCCATGTGTGCGACAAAGGACCAGGGGCGGCGGCAGCGTGGGGGACGTGGGAAACTTACAGAGCGTGGGGGACAGAACACCACAACTTCAGAGGCCCTAATTTGTTGAGCGCATGCAAATGCCTTCCACTGAAGCGAGTAACAGCACACAACCTTAGACAGAACGCTAAAAATACTTCACATGACGCTTACAGCGCCATGGACGTAGTCAACCACGCACACTAAGCGATAATCCTATCAAAACATAGTCCCTCGAATCTGCAGACGCCAGAGCGCACGCTTCCCGCTTCTGTTTCTAAGCGCCTTTCCACCGTTTATCGGTAGTTGCTCCGCGAAAATTGAGCTTTGCATCTATCTGCGGGGGTCAGGTCTCCAAACTTTGCGTTGCCCCTCTCCTTGTAAGGGTGCTCGTAAGACTTCATCCACGGCACTTGCTGGGTTATCCCTTACCCCACCTCCCAAAATAAGCCTATCCAGCTCAGTGCGCAATTTTCTCCGCGACGTTGTTGCCAGACAGGACTCCAGGTGGTTTTCCGTGTCGCACACCGACACAACCGCGCGGGCCAGGCGGACCCCGTTAGGATGGTCGCCAGGAGACCCCTCGGCGGCAGTCGGGTAGATCTTCGTGCCTGCCCCAGGACTCATGCCCAGTCCCGTCGCATTGGAAACCAACCACCCTTCCACCAGAGCACGGGATGCGTGCGCTGGGCGCGCGTTACACTAGCGCTGCGTGCTCCTGCATTAAAACTGCATGCACAGACTTAGCTCGCCGCGTTTGTTAAGGGTTGCATTCGAGTGGCTTGCCTAATGTGAATATGTGAAACTTTGTGACTTCAGACTTTGTGAATCACCTGACCAGGTGCATCAGGCCGTGCATCAAACCCAAATGAAGGCGGACCATCAACTCACGCCGCCAATCCGTGTTGATTTACGGTTGCTTCGCCGAATGGACGTGGACTCCAATTCGCCCTGTTGTTTGCGCCGATTTGATTCGGCTGCCGACAGGTGGGGCGCCGTGACCGGGGTCGGCGGCGCTGATTGGCTCGCTGCTGTTCTCACCGGCGTCCGTCACCCTGTCGATCAGCCGGACAGGCCGGGCCGGGGGTCGGCGAGGTCGGTGGCCCTCCCGCCGCCACCCAGCCGCGTCACCCGACGTCCGCCCGCCGCTCGGCCGCCGCGGTAGCAGAAGCACGCGCTCCGCTGAGACAGTTTTCCTGGAAAGAAAGACTGTCATGTTCTGATGCGAAGTCACACCTGTAGCTGGGTCGTACACCCCATTAAGAAAGACCACCTGATCGTGAGGAGCTCTGTCGATGGGGATTGTAAGGTCTCCATCCAGTCACCAGCTGCAACAACACCGGTGTAATGCCGAAGCCAATCGCAGGCCATGCTATCGGTAGGTTGTCATCATGGCTGGCATACGTTGTTCCAATTTGACTGCGTTAGCACTGATGTAAGGTGCGATTGATTTCCTTCGTGCCCACGTCATGGGGTGCTAACGTAGGAAGACGAAAAGTTTCATAAAACGAAATTTCGAGCCTGCGGACCTACGAAATTGCCCAACCAAAAGTACGGAGCAGCCTCCACTAATGTCACTGACATTGTGATGTCACTACCACTGTGATTTCACTGCCACTGGGACACCACTACCACTGCAGCCTCAGTTACCATATGTATGCTCACCTTGTCATGGCTTTCCATGGAAGTGATGCCGAAGACCGGCGCAGATCAACACTTCCTCTCTGGAACCGTCCGTCTGCCTGCCTGTCGTGACCCTCACACTATCGCCGCCAGCCGTGACCTATGCAAACAGTC